AACTTCAACAGGTGGGCTGGACAAGCCACCTGTCAATTCACCTGGCATTATATGCCCTCCCCACCTGTCAGATTCGCTTGTGCAGCCTCTTCCCAAGTACCTGACAGCCAGCTGATGGTTAGGCCCTTCAGAACCGCAGTGTAGGGGGCTTCGCCTTAAGCTTAAAAAAAATTACAAGGCAAAATTAGACAAGATCAGCCTAGTGCCGGTGGTGAATAGCTCTATGGATGTAATGGTGAATATTTAAAAATAAGATTTCACACAAAGACTTCTTGTGTAAGGAACTTTCCCTCCCTCTACCACCTCCGGTAAAGGTAAAGGGACCCCTCACCGTTAAGTCCAGTCGTGGACGACTCTGGGGTTGCGGCACTCATCTCGCTTTACTGGCCGAGGGAACCGGCATACAGCTTCCGGGTCATGTGGCCAGTATGACTAAGCTGCTTCTGGCGAACCAGAACAGCGCACGGAAACGCCATTTACCTTCCCGCCGGAGTGGTACCTATTTATCTACTTGCACTTTGACATGCTTTCGAACTGCTAGGTTGGCAGGAGCAGGGACCGAGCAATGGTTATAAAGAGAAGGAAAGCAACAGGGAGTTCTTTGTCATTGTCACAAAAGCTTTCACCTCTTAATGAGATAGACTTTTACATGAACAAAACAGGAAATGAAATGAAACAGGAAGTAATGATGGATTAAAATACATTGTTCTTATTTTGAACTTAATACTGAAGCTGTTTAATTATTGCGGGGGACAGGACTGATAATTCCTGTTTTCATTTTGCTAATGTTAAAGGCTCCGATGACCTTCTGAGAGGACCACTTACTGAAGATATCAAAACATCTGATGAGCCAGATGGTGAAATTATTATGGAGGATGCAGAGAGGCTTGAACCTAGATCAGATGACGAGGACACGTATGTTCAAATACAATTTGAAAGCTTTATTCTTGGGGTTTTTTTCATATCTTGAAACAACAGCTCCAAAAGAAACATTCCTTATGTAAAACCCAGCTATCTATAGTTTTGTATAATTTTCTCACTTTTGAAGTTGCAGCAGTGTTAAGAAGACCATCTTGAGGAGTTTCTGCATGTGAAACTTTAGATCCTGCCTTCTGATTGCAGTCTCCCTCTCCATTTGTTCAGCCACTTTTGGAACTTGGGGGATACTTTAGGACGAATTGTCAGTATTGGAAGCCTATGGGTCATGTAAATCTATGTTTGTTACATGGCCACCAGTTTATGTGGTCTCTAGAATCCAAATATGCCAATGGTGGAGAGAAGTGTCAGCCATTTGCAAGTTATGTTTTATGTCTATAAACATATTGAAGAATATTCAGAACAGAATGATAAAGCTGATATGAGATACATGAGTGTTTTGTGAAGGAGGAACTAGGAATATTTAAGTGGAGGACATCATAGTAATTTCCAAAATCTAAAACGCTGCATTGAGGAAGAAAAAAACCCCACCCAACTCTCGCAAGTCCTTATTAAAGAAGCGCTGTGTACACCAAGGATGGATACTTCCTCATAATGTTAATACAACTTCCATCATGGCTGATCCCTGTCTATGTTGGCTGGGATTGGCAGGATTTGAAGTCCATCAACATCAAGAGGGTCCTGGTATTTATACTGAATTGAAACAGCTTAAGTTTGGATATTTAGAAAAATAACATGGATTGGACATCATAACAAATTGTTCTGGAAAAATGCTAGAATCTACAGGACTGTTTTTATGGGTATAATATATTATGTGGACACCTTTAAGTCTTTGGAGTTCATTGCAGTAAAGTAGAGGCCCTTCCATTTCTTTAGTCCAATTATTTTATTCAAACCACGTTAAAATTTGGCTCTTTCGCTTTCATTTTGTAGGGATTTCGAAGCAGATGATGATCCAGACTGGGTTTTTGAATTAAAAAGGATGACCAAAATGGAGAGTGAATAAATAATTGAATAATGGAGGAAGTGAAGAAACTGGTACCATCAGATAACCAAATGTCTTCATGCAAAAAATGTTGCTCAATTCGAAAGTTCTGCATAAGCATACTAGTTACAGTGATTCTAGATTAAATTCTTTGGACACCAGTGTACTGGCTAAGCTTTTGTATTTTGGGGTGGTAGAGAAGTATAGCACTTTCAGAATAAATGTGAACATTTATCTTCCTAAGGTGTTGTTTTGTGTACTTCATATATGAAGATGGGGTGTGTGTTTTTTTGTTACTGTGTTATATATTTTGTGTTTTTATACTGTAAACCGCCCTGTGATCTTTGGATGAAGGGCCCTATATAAATGTAATAAATGTAAAGGCAATTTTAGCCTTCTAGCTGAGTTAACCCTGTACATTTATATTTTATTTCTTAAGGTGCCAAAAACACTGGGTGGTATTCAACCAAGTTTTACTCAGAGCCGTGTAAAATTAAGGAACATGACTAAGTTAGGTCCATTACTTTCAATGAAACAACTCTGCATAAAATTTAGTTGAACACCATCCACTCTACCACCTTTTTTTATTAAGTTCTTGGGAAAGGTCCCATTGGAACTGAAATTTATTTGAGAACTAGACCGATGGAAGGATAAACATTACTTTCAAACTCCCGTTCTGTTCACATGTACCTGTGCCTAAGCTAACCTCAGTGAGGTTTACTTCAAAGCACACATGCATCTGCTTGCCCTGTTGGTCTGTTCAAGAAAGTTATTATGCCTATACATCCTAAAAGGCATGTTCCTGTATGTCCAAAACTTTGCTGGAATGCTAAGCAAGAACATAGTTTGCACACGCACCCTAAATATTTCGTATTTTCACAATAATTACTTTTGGTACAGTTGCTTTTTAATGGATCTTAGTTGATTCATATAGATGCTGTTGGTGTTTTTTGGCGCCATGTGCGGGGATGCTGTTCTTATCACCCTAAATCCGACGCTGAGGAGACTGAGCCCTCAAAAGTTGGGGAATGTCAAGCATGCTAGGTTCTCAGGAGCTGGACCCTGCATGCTTTTTTACTCACCCTGGTGTGCCTTGAATTATCTCAAAGGGCTAGTTAACATGTGGAAAGTGTCACACAGTTTAAAGGAACATCGATCCCCCCCCACTAGTCAATAGAAGCAGCCAGTATTGTCTTAACAGGTGTAGTAGGGGTGTGTGTCAATATTTATTCTTGCCACGAGAGATTTTATTTTCTTGGGCTCCATGATCACTGCAGATGGTGACAGCAGTCACAAAATTAAAAGACGCCTGGTTCTTGGGAGAAAAGCGATGACAAACCTAGACAGCATCTTAAAAAGCAGAGACATCACCTTGCCGACAAAGGTCCGCATAGTTAAAGCTATGGTTTTCCCAGTAGTGATGTATGGAAGTGAGAGCTGGACCATAAAGAAGGCTGATCGCCGAAGAATTGATGCTTTTGAATTATGGTGCTGGAGGAGACTCTTGAGAGTCCCATGGACTACAAGAAGATCAAACCTATCCATTCTCAAGGAAATCAGCCCTGAGTGCTCACTGGAAGGACAGATCCTGAAGCTGAGGCTCCAATACTTTGGCCACCTCATGAGAAGAGAAGACTCCCTGGAAAAGACCCTGATGTTGGGAAAGATGGAGGGCACCAGGAGAAGGGGGCAACAGAGGACGAGATGGTTGGACAGCGTTCTCTAAGCTACGAACATGAATTTGACCAAACTGCGGGAGGCGGTGGATGATCGGAGCATCGCTGTCAACTTTCGTATTTGAAAATAAGGGATCAGCAGTCTCGAAAATAAGGGATCAGCAGCCTCGCCTGTCCCAGAGACAGTCTATGGGATATCTAACAATCCGGGATTGCAGCAGGAAACAGCGCTGGAATAAGGGAATTTCACACCAAAAAAGGGAAGGTTGACAGCTATGGACAGGAGTGCCAGGCATGCTCTGGTCCATGGCGTAGCTGTCAACGTTTCCCTTCTTTTAAGGGAAATCCCCTTATTCCGAATAGGATTCCTCGCAAGGAAAGGGGAAAGTTGACAGCTGTGGTCCATGGGGTCACAGAAGAGTCGGACACGACTTAAAGACTTCATAGAATCATAGAGTTGGAAGAGACCACAAGGGCCATCGAGTCCAACCCCCTGCCAAGCAGGAAACACCACCAGAGCACTCCTGACATATGGTTGTCAAGCCTCGGCTTAAAGACCTCCAAAGAAGGAGACTCCACCACACTCCTTGGCAGCAAATTCCACTGTCGAACAGCTCTTACTGTCAGGAAGTTCTACCTAATGTTTAGGTGGAGTCTTATTTCTTGTAGTTTGGATCCATTGCTCCGTGTCCGCTTCTCTGGAGCAGCAGAAAACAGCCTTTCTCCCTCCTCTATGTGACATCCTTTTATATATTTGAACATGGCTATCATATCACCCCGTAACCTCCTCTTCTCCAGGCTAAACATGCCCAGCTCCCTTAGCCGTTCCTCATAAGGCATCGTTTCCAGGCCTTTGACCATTTTGGTTGCCCTCCTCTGGACACGTTCCAGTTTGTCAGTGTCCTTCTTGAACTGTGGTGCCCAGAACTGGACACAGTACTCCAGGTGAGGTCTGACCAGAGCAGAATACAGTGGCACTATTACTTCCCTTGATCTAGATGCTATACTCCTATTGATGCAGCCCAGAATTGCATTGGCTTTTTTAGCTGCCGCGTCACACTGTTGGCTCATGTCAAGTTTGTGGTCAACCAAGACTCCTAGATCCTTTTCACATGTACTGCTCTCAAGCCAGGTGTCCCCCATCTTGTATTTGTGCCTCTCATTTTTTTTGCCCAAGTGCAATACTTTACATTTCTCCCTGTTAAAGTTCATCTTGTTTGTTTTGGCCCAGTTCTCTAATCTGTCAAGGTCGTTTTGAAGTGTGATCCTGTCCTCTGGGGTGTACAATAACGGGGTGTTTGTGTGTGTCGTGTAGGTGGCAGCGACCCCCTTCCCCGCCCTCCCTGCTGCGCAGGAGACCTTCCCTCGCGGGCCGGCCGAGGCTGGCCCAGAGCGGCCGTTTGCGGAACCGGCTCGCGCGTCTTCCTTCACTCCGTCGCCTTGGCAACGCGGAGGGCGGGGACGAGGAGAGGGCCTGCTCCCTTGACGAGCGAGGAGCGGGAACGCGCTTAGCCCCACCGCCCACCCCATGGCGTCCGGGCGCCCCGCTTTGGAGGCAACCCCCGACGTCCGGACTCGGAAGCCGGCTCCCCGGGTAAACCGCGCGTGGAAAACGGAGGGTCGCCTTCCCGAGGCCGCCGCCGCCGCCTCAACCGCCACCCCCTTTCCCCGCTTGTGGGTTCGCCTCCGTTAAGGCAACGACGTCGTGGGGGGGTGGGGGGGGGTTGCACTGCCTTCTGCCCTATATGCTTGGTTTCCAATATGCATTTTGTGTTTTTTTTAATCTTGCCTTTTTTGTGCTGCGAACCGCCCCGGAGATCGACGGGTGAAGGGCTAAGGAAGAGAAAGGAGCGCCGTGAAAAAATTGAAGCGGTCACAAAACTGATTGCAGAGTTATTCAAAATTGCAGAGTTATTCAAAATCCTGTTGGAACTCGTTTTATTATTTCAACTATCCAGGGAGATCAGCTTCTTAAAGTCTGATAACCAGTGCTTTTTTTTCCCTTAAAAAAAAAAAAGTTTAGGGGTACTCTCATTTTCCCTACTCATAGTGGAGTACTGCCCCTCAATGAGGCCAAACTGAGATTCACAAAATGTTTAGGGGTCTGCGTCCCCCAGAAAAAAAAGCACTGCTGATAACCATTGTCACATCCAGAGGTGCAAATTCCCACTTTGAGAACTGCCGCATGAAAAAGTGGCCTATTATTTGAGAAGAATACTTGAATTATTGGGGGTGAAGGGGATCTTGAATGACTCGGGTGGCAAATGGTTCTTTGTTCTCCCTGGGGTGGTCATCAAACTATTTTTTACTCAGGAGTAGATTCGTTGAAATGAATGAACATGACTAACTCAGGCCTATTCATTTCAGCAGGTCTGCTCTGAGTAAAACTTAATTGTTTCCGCACATTTTTATTATACAGGTGAAACTCGAAAAATTAGAATATCGTGGAAAAGTTCATTTATTTCAGTAATTCAACTTGAAAGGTGAATTATAATTGTGATGTACATATGCATGCTTCTACTTCTCAGAGGTCTCAATATTGTTCTATTTGCAGTCCTTGTTTTGCTGATTTCATTTAATATTCTAATTTTCTGCGATTGTTAATTTGGGGTTTTCATCAGCTGTACGCCATAATCATCACAATTATAACAAATAAAGGCTTGACATATCTCGCTTTGCATGTCAGACTCATATATTAATTCCACCTTTTAAGTTGAATGACTGAAATAAATGAACTTTTCCACGATATTCTAATTTTTCGAGTTTCACCTGTATGTGTTATTTAGTACATTTTTATAGCCAGCCTTTTCCACTTTGTGGAATTGAAGGCTGTGCTTCCCATCCAAGCAAGTACCTGACAGACCTGCTTAGATTCAGGGACTGCAACCTGTGCTGTGGGTTATAGAGTGTCCACTTACACATTGACCCAAAGAAAAATGAATGCATCATCAGAGAAAGAGGATGCCGGTTTGCATATCATTTGTGGGCACACAATAATATGTATGGTAGAAATAATTGCTGTAATTGAAACAGAAATGAAATACAGCTTACCATTTTTTGGAAGTATCTGACCAATCTGCTGTTCAGGTGCAACTTCAGGACTCTAGCTGTCTGTTCTTAGAGATGTTTATCTTTAAACCAGACTGTCCTTTGAATTAGAGCAGTTTTTCTCAAACTTGGGTCGCCAGCTAGTTTTGGACCACAGTTCTCATCATCCCTGCCCACTGGTCTTGATAGCTAGGGATGATGGGGCTTGTAGTCCAAAAATAGCTGATGTCCCAAGTTTGGGGAACACTGAATTAGAGGAAGCCTTTAAACAGAAGAGTGTTCTATCTAAAAATAGAACATGTCAGTACTACCCTGGGACCACAAGCAGCATCATGCGCTTTTCATTTTACTCCAGTTTAATTAAGTATTATGTGGAATAAAGCAGCCTTTTGCCAACTTGGTGCCTCCAGATGTTTTGGACTACAGTGGTGCCTCGCAAGACGAAAAGAATCCATTCTGTGATTCTCTTCGTCTAGCAGTTTTTTCGTCTTGCGAAGCAAGCCCATTGACGGATTAGCGCTATTAGCGGCTTTTAGCGGCTTATCTGCTGATCGGATCAGCTGATAAGCGGCTTAGCGGCTTAGAAAAAGGGGGGGGAGGAAAAAACCCGCAGGAACTCGCAAGGCATTGTCGTCTTGCGAAGCAAGCCCATAGGAAATTCGTCTAGCGAAGCACCTCCAAAACGGAAAACTCTTTCGTCTAGCGAGTTTTCCGTCTTGCGAGGCATTCGTCTTGCGGGGCACCACTGTACAACTATCCTCAGTCCCCAGCTAGAGTTTTAGTCCCAAACACCAGTTTGACAAAGGCTGGAATACAGGATGTGTATGTGTTTCACAGCAGACAGGATGAGAAGGGGTCTTCTGCATGCCATTTGTGAATCAGAAGTATACTTCTTTCACATGTGCAGTAGGTGTAGCTCCCACAGTCAATGTGATGATAATCAATCTTTAATAAAGGCAATTCTCCCCAAATCTATAAGTTTCATCGTTTCACTTCTAATGGAGTAGGTGTGTGAATATCCTCTTAATGTTTCGGATTGTACCTAATCAACATTTGTGGGACAAACTTTTGAAACTATTCGGTTTACGAACTCTGCAAAACCGGAAATAGTGTCTTAGTTTGAGAACTTTACCTCAGTCTAAGAACGGAATCCGAACGGTGGAAGGGCAGCGGCGGCGGGAGGCCTCATTAGGGAAAGCACACCTCAGTTTAAGAACTGTTTTGATTTAAGAACAGACTTCCGGAACGGATTAAGTTCATAAACAGCGGTACCACTGTATTAAGTATCTATCACTTAAATATTTTTGTTTTACAGACATTTCTCTAAATCCACAACATGGATGAGTATGAAGTGATTAAAATGATTGGAGAAGGATCTTTTGGCAAAGTATTCTTGGCTAAAGGAAAGGATAACAATCAACCATGTGTTATCAAGGAGGTCAATTTAACAAAGGTAAATAATCTCTCCTCCCACCTGTCCCAAATGCGCTTACCTTTTAGAGTAATGTTACATATATCATCTACACTCATGATTCATGACATAGGGAATTAGATATAGTTAGTTTTGGAATGGTTTTATATTTATCCATCTTTATGTATACATGTGTTCAAAACAAAATAAAAAAGTAGATATTTAAATATTCAATACTATATAAATAAAGTCTCTAAATTTCATCTGGGAAAGTGACAGTAATAATCACATGCTTCTCCTTCCTTGTTTCTCAACCAATTTAGATGCCAAGAAAAGAAAAAGAATCCTCTCAGAAAGAAGTCGCTGTTCTGTCCAAGATGAAGCACCCTAATATAGTAGCTTTCTACACTGCCTTTCAAGGTCTCATTTTCTATGGCTTTGTTTGTTTGTTTGTTAAAAAACTCTCAGGGTGAGCAGATGCAAAAGAGGACAGGGATTGTGTACCTTTAATAGTTGTGTAGAAGAGGGGTAATCGGAAGGTATTTAAATAAATTATTTCCATCCCAGTGGTGGAAAATTAACAATCTCACAGTGGACCGTTTGTGCCTTTAATTTTGGGTGGTTTAGCTTTTTATGCAGAACCATGAACAGTTGCTCCTTGCACATGTTTGAAAGACACAGGATCACTACATATTTCCTTTGCTTCTAGTTACCCTAATGCTGTGTATACCTAGTGTAGAGTGGGGGTCAAGAGGTGGGAAATCTGTAATATCAGTATATTGGAGATAGCCAGATCTTAATCTGTTTGGCATGGAATATGTGTCTTGGTGTTGCGAGCCCGAGAATTTGGGGTCTTTAGTTGAAATCACTATTACCTGACTGCACTGCTCATAGAAGGAACCATGTACAAACATTAAACTTTAAATGACTTTAAGCATTTTTTGAAATAGTGATGGTGGCAATTTTTTTTTAAAAAAAACAACACACTGATTTATTGCTTTGGTTAAGTTTGCTATACCAGTTGCCATGAAAGCAGTTAATTGCTGTATTTGTAAATGCAAAGTTTGTTCATAAGCCTAATATACTTTTATTGCAGAGAATAATAAGTTATATATTATTATGGAATATTGTGATGGAGGTGACCTTATGAAGAGGATAATTTTGCAGCGTGGAGTGTTATTTGATGAGGACAAGGTAAGTTTGCATTTTGAAGAACTGCCTTTCTTTACATTCTTCCATTCAATTATTTATCACAGAAAAAAGGACGAGGAGATTGGCATCCTGCCTTTCATTTTCTTTTATTTACCAAGTCATTAAGGTAAAGGTAAAGGGACCCCTGACCGTTAGGTCCAGTCGTGACCGATTCTGGGGTTGCGGAGCTCATCTCGCTTTATTGGCCAGCATGACAAAACCGCTTCTGGCGAACCAGAGCAGCGCACGGAAACGCTGTTTACGTTCCCGCTGGAGCGGTACCTATTTATCTACTTGCACTTTGACGTTCTTTTGAACTGCTAGGTTGGCAGGAGCAGGGACCGAGCCACAGGAGCTCACCCCGTTGCGGGGATTCGAACCGCCGACCTTCTGATCGGCAAGTCCTAGGCTCTGTGGTTTAACCCACAGAGCCACCCGCGTCCCTTCACCAAGTCATTAGTGCCATAATAATTTGTGCCTCTGGCAGAGTGATCAGGGATGAGAGGGAGATCCAATAACATCCAGAGAATCGCATGTTCCCTGCTCTCCTTTAAAAAGCTGGCCTCAAACTGAGGTCCTGGGTTCAAATTTTGGATTTAAGTTGAGGGCGCTGGAACAGATGGACCTATCATGGACTGGGCTTACTTAGAACTACAGAGAGTATGAAGTGTGCCTGCTACTCTGGGTGAGTGGTTAGGAAGTTGTTTGACTCTAATCCCAAATATTCTATTAGCTAGATGTCTAAATGTCTAAATGTATGTTCTGACCTTGTAGAATAGATAATTGTGTCCAGGTTATATGTCAAGAGTGAGGTTGAAATCCCTATTTCCTGCTTTTTGACGAAGAGATGTATATCTTATTTTTTTCTGATATCTACTGTATACAATATTAAATTCATCATTTTTTACTGGCATGTGTATGTTTTAAAGGAGGTCCCCTCCCCCCCGGTAGAAATGACAGTGGTGGTGGTTTATGGGGTATTCACATTTTATCTTTGCCTATAGATCTTGAGTTGGTTTGTGCAAATCTCCTTAGGACTGAAGCATATACATGACAGGAAGATTCTGCACAGAGATGTAAAAGCACAGGTAAGTCAAAGGGGGAGTGCCTTTTCCCAGTTGCGGTTGGTATGTCAACTACAACTGTTCTTGGACAGGGATCCATTGCTGTCACTTGAGGCTCAGGTGACCGCAGTGGCACAGCGCACCTTCCATCAGCTTCAACTGGTGGCCTAGCTGTGCCCCTATCTGGATAGGGATAGCCTAATGCCTGTTGTCTATGCTCTGGTAAACTCTAGATTAGATTACTACAGTACATTACACATGAAGATAGTTCAGAAACTTCAGCTGGTGCAGAATTCAGCAGCCAGATTGCTCACTGGTGCAAAACAGTGTGAGCATATAACACTACTCCAGGCTGACTGCACTGGCTGCCAAGTTTTGACTTATAAAGTATGGTGGATTCCATTTTTATGGCACTCCCTTCCAGCTGACAAACACCCTCCTTGTTGAACTTCCAGTGCCTACTGAAGCCTTTATTTCAGCAGCATTTTAACCGAATTCTGATCTTGCAGTTTTAAACAATCGTTATTTTCATACTTGTACGCTGCTTAGAGTCAGCTGTGATTAAGCGGTATATAAATCATCACTTTTATGGATTGCAGAACATTTTTCTCAGCAATAATGGAGTGATAGCAAAACTTGGAGACTTTGGGATTGCGAGAATGCTGAGCAAGTAAGCACTATTTTATGGACTCTCAATATTGTTCTTTCCGTGCTATGTCTGAAAAGGATTACTTTGTTTTAGATAGTGAAATGTTTAGAGAGTGGGATGTAGACTGGCCTTATTCTGACGCTAACTCTAAACAATGATTTATCCTTATTTTTATTCATAAAATTCATACACTGCTTGATTGTAAAAAAATACCTCAAAGTGGTTTACAATAAATGAAGAGAAGAGGTTGCATCAAGCACCATTTATTTGAGGGCAATAACCATGTTCACCACGGTTCTTTGGAAGATAAAGGTGGTATATAAATGTAAAAAATAAATAAATGAGGGTAGCAAATTAAAAGCTTCCAAATTCAGTTTTGAATAAACTGCAGTTTCCTCTTATATCTAAACTAGGGAAACAATGGTTTAGTCTAACAGATTATTAAGCAAACTGATCTTAAATCACATTTTTTTATCCTGGTTTATTTGAGGGTTCCTATGTCACTGTTGGTTGGAATACAGATTTTCTGTTACATATTGAAACGTATAAGTAGTGTTCTAATTTGTTCCTGGAGTCCCCAAATGATGAATTGATGTAGGCATGTATAGTTGCTTCCCCCACCCCAATTTCCCTATATATATCAAACTTATTGGTCAAAACCATTATTTTTCAACGTTGTTCTCCTTTAGTACCATGGAATTTGCTCGGACCTGTGTAGGAACACCATATTACTTGTCACCTGAAATCTGTGAGAACAAGCCGTATAACAACAAAACGTGAGTCTGAATATTTCTGACGCACATATTTGAACCACATCATGGGAGGAATTCAGTGTTGTCATGGGTTTGAGCCCCATGTTGGGCAAAAAGATTCCTGCCTTGCAGGGGTTGGACTAGGATACCCTTGTGGTCCCTTCCAGCTCTGTGATAGCACCATACCTTTTCCATCCTCCTGCTAGACAAGTGGAATTGCCCCATCAGGAGGTCTTTTTTCAGGAGTGGATAGTAAATCTCCTAATTGTAGGTTTTACCTCTGCCTTCCAATGGCCTGTCTCTCCAGGCACTCCTAGCTTACATGTTGGACATGCCATGTCCCAAATGTGAAAAATCTTTGCTCTTAGAGGTTTGCCAAGCTCATATGATTGAAGGATCCTCTCACCACCCCAACAGGCATTCATTGTCATGAAAACATGAAATCTACTGAACATCATGGGTGATCCTTACATATTGCAAGTAATACTGAGACTTCTCACTCTCTCTCTCTGAGGCTGACTATGTATTTAGAAGCTTAACTGTTCTATTTCTCTTTTATGCAACTTCTCTGTCATCCTTTATATCTCCATCCTTATTATTAAGAAAGCTTAATTTGGAACCTAGGATGTGACTATATATTTTGTGAATTGGATTTGTTTTTCTACAAATAGTATGAATTAGTTTATTGATTGCAGAGTTGAGATGGATATTCTTGTTTTACAATGTTTCCCCACCCCATACTGTGATTTCTTTTTTTTACAGAGATATATGGTCCCTTGGCTGTGTATTATATGAACTCTGTACTTTAAAGCACCCTGTAAGTACATTAGCAGACTATTTGTAAATCGTTTAATATAATATTTACTAAGAATGAACATTTTTCAAGTGGAACTTTTCAAAGGCAGCAGTTAGTATTGTAACTTTCAATGCTTCTAAATCTTAGACAGCTTAGGAAGGATATTATAGATCTGAGGGGTTTTTTCCTGGGCCACATGGTGATATTTTCCCCAGAAAAGATGCTGAGTCAACATTTTTATTTAAACGTCACATTTCACTTGGCAGCTACTATTTATGGCTGTATTTTAATATTTCAGTTTGAAGGCAAGAGTTTGCCTCAACTTGTGCTGAAGATCTGCAGAGGCTATTTCACACCAGTATCTATGAAGTATTCATATGAACTAAGAACATTAGTATCCCAGCTGTTTAAAACATCTCCAAGAGATCGCCCTTCTATCAACTCCATTTTGAAAAAGCCCTTTTTGGAGAAACAAATAAAGAATTTTCTGCCCCCTGAGGTGAGTGTCTGCTGTGGCTGCAGACAATCCAAACAAATGAGAAAACCCTTCCCTGGTAATTTTCACACTCCCTTTCACTTTGCACATGGTAGTCCCATTTAAGGTGAATGTGTAGAATTTACATTTGAGGAGTGGGATTGTCTGACATCAATTGCTGCTAATGCTTGCTTTCCGCAGGAAAATGTATTTATTAACTGAATTTATTAAAGAAGCCCAGAGTGGTAAACATCAAAGTGGTAAAACAGGGTGATTAAAAATAAAAATATATTTCCAAACAATGAAGAACATTTTTAAATAGTTGTTGGGAATGGTGTCTTTGAGCCATCAAATGCCCAGGTGAACAGAAATCTTTCTGAATGCTTTCTGAAAGTTAATAGCGAGGGAGAAAGAAACACCTCACCAAGGAGGACATTAAACAAATGGGGAACCACCACCGAAAAGGGCCTGTCATGGGGTAGTGCCAACTGGGCAGCACTCAGCAGCAGCAGCAGCACCACCACCACCAGGTCATCCCCCAAAATAGTTGATATTGAGGAAGACACTCTTTTAGATAAAGGCAAGATACTTGTTCCCTCTTGCCTTTAATTATCAGAATGAGCAAGCAGCTTTGGGTGCATTGGGACACTAGTGAATCACCACTTAGCGAAGATGTAGCAAAGATAGATAGATAGATAGATAGATAGATAGATAGATAGATAGATAGATAGATAGATAGATATGCATGTGTGTGTAATCTGTTATATTTGCTTTTAGATCATGGAGGAAGAATTCAGCCACACCGTCATTCACAGAAAACGGTCACTAGATTCACTGCCATCAGGCAAGCTGTTGCTCACTAAGGTTTATATATGCAAATATATAAATGAAAGCATAATGCTTAAGAGAGAGAGAGAGAAATTTGTTTTAAATGCGTACTGAGATAATTAGTCAATTTTCAGTGAAGATGCTGTATAACGAATTTGCATGCTCCTTCCCCTTGGGGACACGGTGGCATCAAAACTATTGAGCAGATGCGTGTTACTGAATAGGGCTCTAGTTTACGAGTTGTGCTTTTGAGGTGGTGGCCCCATTCTGCTGGGTATTTAAAACAGGTATTTTAATTATGTATTTATAGAAATATTTATATAACACTAATTAATAAACAACATATCAAAGTGGTTCAGAACTACATAAAGCCATAAAATAAAAAGCATATAAAAAGATAAAATCAGTTAACTACTGTGGTAGTATGTATTCTTAATTGCCTGCATAAGCCGACGGAATTGGAAAGTTTTCAGCAGGCATTTAAAAATCGAAAAAAAAGAGGCCTGCTGAATCTCTGTTGGCAGAGTATTCCACAGAACTGGGCTAGTGACACTAAAAGCTTGGTTTCTTGTCGTGTCAAATTAGCCTTGCCAGCTTGGGGGAAATGATCAGCAGCAACACTCCTGCAACGATTGAGCTGGGATATAATGGTATAGCTCTTAAGATCACAGAACTGCTTTAGTCAGGTGTAGTTTTCTCGCTAAGAGAGTGAAACTTTAGTTTATATATTGTTTATAAGTGTTGCACTCAAATAAATTCAGGCCTCCGATTCTGTCATCTAAAGTGTAAAACATGGGTAGAATTATTGTTATTTAGTCGTGTCCGACTCTTCGTGACCCCATGGACCAGAGCACGCCAGGCACTCCTGTCTTCCACTGCCTCCCGCAGTTTGATCAAACTCATGCTGGTAGCTTTGACAACACTGTCCAACCATCTTGTCCTCTGTCGCCCCTTCTCTTTGTGCCCTCCATCTTTCCCAACATCAGGGACTTTTCCAGGGAGTCTTCTCTTCTCATGAGGTGGCCAAAGTATTGGAGCCTCAGCTTCAGGATCTGTCCTTCCAGTGAGCACTCAGGACTGATTTCCTTAAGAATGGATACGTTTGATCTTCTTGCAGTCCACGGGACTCTCAAGAGTCTCCTCCAGCACCATAATTCAAAAGCATCAATTCTTTGGCGATCAGCCTTCTTTATGGTCCAGCTCTCACTTCCATACATCACTACTGGGAAAACCATAGCTTTAACTATACGGACCTTTGTTGGCAAGGTGATGTCTCTGCTTTTTAAGATGCTTTCTAGGTTTGTCATTGCTTTTCTCCCAAGAAGCAGGTGTCTTTTCATTTCGTGACTGCTGTCACCATCTGCAGTGATCATGGAGCCCAAGAAAGTGAAATCTCTCATTGCCTCCATCTCTTCCCCTTCTATTTGCCAGGAGGTGATGGGCCTAGTGGCCATGATCTTGGTGTTTTTGATGTTGAGCTTCAGACCATATTTTGTGCTCTCCTCTTTCACCCTCATTAAAAGGTAGAATTATTACTTTGCTGTTATAAGGTAGCATTAATTTTATGCATCTTCTAGTAAAAGGTGGGCCAATGTATTGCCAGTGTATTGTGTGCAAACCACAGAGGCGAACACTACACCCTTTCCCTGATGAGGTAGACTGAGCCAGGTAATGTCAGTTCCCTTCTCACTGGAACTAGAAGAATGTTTTAGATCAATAGAAATAGATGGTGGTAGGTACTTCAGTAAGCATTGTTCAGGAGTAATTCTCATTACCTGAGTGCTCACATTTTGGAGCATATTTAATTGGAGCCGAACTGCACATTTGGTGCCAAACAGGATTCCCAACTCAGTGTATGCTGCTGGTCATTCTGGGGTTTTGAAGGGGAGGGGCATAGGAGTATGATACTGGAAATAATTATCAAAACCTTATTTAATTGAATTATCAAAGGAGCTCCTGAAGTTCAGAAATCAAGAATCCATGATCGTCATTCACCCAAAATCAAGCTGGAGATGCTTTCCAGAAAACAACACATAATGTATGAAAATGAATGGAAAGCTCCTTCAAGGCCCCAGGATCCTATTAACCAGGTAATAATAATAATAATAGTAATTAAAGTTCTCTTGGTATTTATCATATTTTCCCGTGTATAAGACTAGGTTTTTCCCCTTAAAAATTAATGTGAAAATTAGGGGGTGTCTTATACACAGATACATCTCCCCCCCATTTGAGTCCCCCAAAAGAGGGGGTGTCTTATAGATGGAAAAGTGAAGTAATTATTTAATAGAGTTCTTTATTTGTCATATGCTTTCACTTTGCAACAGTAAAGGTAAAGGTAAAGGTGACCCCTGACCATTAGGTCCAGTCGTGACCGACTCTGGGGTTGCAGTGCTCATCTCGCTTTATTGGCCGAGGGAGCCGGCGTACAGCTTCCGGGTCATGTGGCCAGCATGACTAAGCCGCTTCTGGCGAACCAGAGCAGCGCACCAAAATGCCATTTACCTTCCCGCCGGAGCGGTACCTATTTATCTACTTGCACTTTGAGGTGCTTTCAAACTGCTAGGTTGGCAGGAGCAGGGACCGAACAACGGGAACTCACCCCGTCACAGGGATTCGAACCGCCGACCTTCTGATCCGCAAGTCCTTGGCTCTGTGGTTTAACCCACAGCGCCACCCAGTAGATGGCACTAATTCAGGGATGAGTGACCCTCCAGGTGTCGCTGAACTCCAGTACCCATTATCCCTAAATATTGGTCATGCTGCTGGGGCTGATGGGAGCTGGAATTCAACACCATCTGGAAGGCCACAGGTCTATTATTCTTGTACTGACTAATTTAACAGTGTTTGACAAATAGACAAATTAGGGTCAAACTAGATGTGAGGTTTAATGTGTCTTTGAATCTGATTCTGGAATTCTTTTCCTCATTCTGCCCTTGTATTTTTTAAAAACCGAAAAGCCATTCTGAGGCCCTAATCTATATAGAATAGAATAGAATAGATAGAATAGATTCTTTATTGTCATTACACAAGTGCAACATTGCACAAAGTGCAACGAAATTGGATGCCATCCCTTAAAACAGCAAAAGCAAAACAACAACAACAACCAAACAAACCACATTCCAGCCACACCCACACCAACACCCATCAAACTCCCAGGTCACACTATCGAGTTACAGCATTCAAAAAGGCCACAGCTCTTGGATAGAAACTGTTTTTCAGTCTATTTGTCTTTGACTTGATGTTTCTATATCTCCTGCCAGAAGGCAGTAGTGCAAACAGACTGTGTCCCGGGTGAGATGAATCCTGCAGGATGTTATTTGCTTTCCTAAGACAACGGGAACCGTACAGTTCTTCCAAAGATGGGAGAGGATGACCAATAATCCTTTGGGCTGTGGTTATGACCTTCTGGAGCACCTTCCTCTCCCTAGCTGTACAACTGGAGAACCAAGCACAAATACAGTATGTAAGAATGCTCTCTATGGAGCCTCGGTAGAAGGACACCAGCAGTCTCTCACTCAGATTGTTCTTCTTTAAAAGTCTGAGGAAATAAATTCTCTGCTGGGCCTTCTTCACCAGAGCAGTGGTATGTGCGCTCCAAGTCATGCCCTGATCGATAGTTACTCCCAAAAACCTGAATTCCGCCACCCTCTCCACCCGTTCCCCGTTGATATACAAGGGCTGAATGTCCGCCTTTTTTTTTCTATAATCCACCACCAATTCCTTAGTCTTAGCCGTATTAAGAGCCAGATTGTTCTCTCCACACCAAACACAGAGCCGCTCCACCTCGTCCCGATAGGCGGACTCATCCCCTCCTGAAATGAGCCCTACCACCGTAGTGTCATCAGCAAACTTGATGATTTTGTTGCTGGAATAGATGGCTGTACAGTCATACGTATAGAGAGCATAGAGCAGGGGACTTAACACACAACCCTGTGGTGAGCCGGTGTTAAGGCTAAGGGCTGTGGACATATGTGACCCTACTCTAACCCTCTGAGAACGTTCCGACAAAAAATCCAAAACCCAGAGACAGGTGGAGTTGGAGAGTCCAATCGCCTCTAGCTTGGACACCAGTCTATGGGGGAGGATAGTGTTAAAAGCAGAGCTAAAATCCACAAACAGCAGCCTCACATAACTCCCCGGCTGCTCCAGATGGGACAGAGCAGCATGGAGAGTGGTATTGATGGCGTCTTCTGTGGATCTATTTGCTCTGTATGCAAACTGGTAGTTGTCAAAAGTTGATGGAAGACAGGAAATAATGTGACGGCGCACCAGTTTCTCAAAACACTTCATGATGATTGGAGTCAGTGCAACTGGTCTGTAGTCATTCAAACTACTGATTGTGGATTTTTTAGGCAGAGGGACAATAGTTGACGACTTCAGGCAGGGTGGGACAATAGACTGGTGTAAGGACTTATTGAAGATCTTAGTAAAGACCCTCGCCAGCTGATCCGCACAGCCCTTCAACACCTTTCCAGTGATGCCATCAGGTCCAGCCGCCTTCCTCGGATTCGCCATCCTCAATACCTGTCTCACCTCATGTTCCTCTACCGTGAATGAGGGGCCCCTATGGGCCGGTGGCTGTAATACCGGCGTCTCAGGTGGCTCCTTCTCGAAGCGAGCAAAGAAGAGGTTAAGCTCCTCCGCCAGCAAAGGGTCACCGTCGACAGCACCAAGGTTAGGTTTGTAGTTGGTAATATGCTGAATCCCCTGCCACATCTGTCTTGTGTTGTTGCTCCTTAAATTATCCTCAATCCTCAGCCTATAATCCAATTTTGCCCGTCGAATACCCCTCCTCAAGTTTGCTCTTGCTACACTGTAAAGCTGCACCTCGCCTGACCTGAAAGCCCTGTTCCTTTCTCGCAACAGGCACTGGACCTCTCTATTCATCCAGGGTTTCTGATTGGGGTAAAACCGGATGGATTTATTTACTGTGACAGTGTCTGTGCAGTGATTGATATAGCACAGAACTGCCGCCGTGTGCTCCTCCAGGTCTGAACTATCGAAAATATCCCAATTGGTTCTCTCAAAACAGTCCTGCAGCTGGTGAATAGCACCTTCAGGCCAGATTTTAACAGATTTTAATATTGTGGGAGCCCGTTTCCTGAGTGGGATATATGCTGGTACCAGGAACAGAGACATATGGTCGGACTGGCCCAAGTGTGGCAGCTGTAAAGCCCTATAGCCGTGATTTACATTCGAATAAACTTTATCCAGTGTCTTGTCCCCTCTTGTGGGACATTTCACATGCTGATAGAGCGTTGGGAGCACTGTTTTAAGTTCAACATGGTTGAAGTCTCCCGCAATGATGTGCACAGCTTCAGGATACTTGTCTTGCTGGCTGCTGATAAGGTCCTGCAGACATCCCAAAGCCAAGTTGGCATTGGCATCTGGTGGCACGTACACACCAGTTAACATAACAGCTGTGAACTCCCTAGGGAGATAGGCTGGTCTACATCTAACAGCCACATATTCCAAATCCGGTGAACAGTGACTGCCCACAGTCTTCGAATTATTGGACCAGCATTTGTTCACATATACACACAGCCCCCCTCCTTTGGTTTTTCCGAAGTCCATGCCTCGGTCATGACGATGTACCGCACAGCCTTCCAACTGAATAGCTGTGTCTGGTATGGACGGTTGAAGCCATGTCTCAATGACAAATAAAACGCAGCAATCTTTTACAAGGCTGTTCTTTGCTGCCTGCAGCCTCAATTCATCCATCTTGTTGGTAAGAGATCTCACATTAGCAAGAAATATGCTAGGGAGCGGTGGTTTAGATGGTCTCCTCTGCAATCTTACCAGGACGCCAGCCCGACAACCCCGCCTTTGCCTCCTGTCTCTACGCCGCCTTCGCCTCCTCCCTGGAGGCATAGTAATCCATGGAGAGCCCGGTGGCCTGGCTACTCCCACAGGAACGTTATCTGGGCGAAAATAATCAGCTCTTACAGCTTGTTCACACTGTAACCCGACCTTCAGAAGTTCCTGCCTGCTGTAAATCTTTCTTGCCCGGCCAGACATACTCAGACCAAGTAAAAATAATAAAAACAAAACAAAACGCTGAGGGAGAGCACTAAGCCACAGCGTCTATGCGCGCTGCCATCTTGTATATCTTGTATCCGGTTACTGGCTATTGGATTCCCATTAAACCACTCCTTTCCTTATCTGCTTGTTCAAGGCTGAATTAATTTTCGGTCCTCTTCACAAACAGGAAGGTGCAAATCCCGTGTAGACAAATGGCATCCCAAAGCCAGCGCCCTACAGCAGCTGAACTGTCAGTTGGACTTTAACTGCCAGTTGGACTTTACCTGGCTACTCCCACAGGAACGTTATCTGGGCGAAAATAATCAGCTCTTACAGCTTGTTCACACTGTAACCTGACCTTCAGAAGTTCCTGCCTGCTGTAAATCTTTCTATATAATGGTCCCTCTTAGCTGCTGTTAGGATTCTCACCTTTTTATTAAAAAAAAACCTAAGTAGCAGATTCAAAGCTATGTTCTGTCTCTAGTTTGACCTTAAGCCTGTACCTCTTTAAAGGGATGTGCAAGCCACGCTTTGCTGTTGATCACTCTTGATCCAGATCACACAACTAACATAAAAAGTCCATGAGCACTTGCAAATTGCTCACTTTTCTTCTTAAAGTTAGGTCAAGGGGAAGGCATGGGTGCCTAATGAGATTGCACCAGTGGGGTAGGGAGAATGATTAGGCACTTGTGGTGTTCAGTTGTTTAGGCCATCAGCAGGCCAAAGGAGTTAATGGGTTCACATGAGATGAATTGATAGGAGTCATAAATATTGTTTAGCAGAATGCTGTGTGCACAGAGAAAGCATAAGGTGCTGGACTATATGGAACTTGCCGAACTGACCAGGAGACTCCGAGACCAGAGAGAAGAGACTGGAAGAAGTTTAAGGAATATTTGAAAAAATATGTTAATATTTAAATCTTTGAATAGCTTTGGAAGTGGATATAGAAGTAGAAGACAGTGTATTTTAAAATAATATTATTGGTAAGCGATAAAATGTGAAGTTATTTTAACTGTGATTAAAAAAAAGATGGCTAGAAACTATGATATATGTAAATGCTAAAGATGAAGTAAAATGAAAATCAGATAGGTGGGACTTGGGGAAGACCACTTAACAATGTTTAGAAAAATAAGGATATGACAATAATTTGTTTGTGTTGTTTGTTTTTCTGTTTGTGTTCTTTATTTGTGGTATAAAATGAATAATTTTTTTTGGGGGGGGGAAGAGAAAGCGTAAGATGCAGCACAAGCAGAAGAATGGAAAATGGAATATGCTTGCTATTTTATGTTTATACCCCGATTCTCATCAGAAAGGTTGAATCTTGAATGAAGTCCTCAGTGGTCTTGTGTCCAGACACTGATCAGGACCAAACTTCTTCAATTTCAAGAATGGCAGACCCTCCAAGTGTCCTTGTTTTCCAGGGACAGTCCCGGATTTACAGAAGTTGTCCTAGTTTCTGATTTGATCCCGGAATGTCCCGTTTTTCCTTAGGACATCCCTATTTTCATCAGAGAAATGTTGAAGGCTATGGAGTTATCTGATCCCTGAGCCATCTGAAGGCAGCCCTGTATGCGGAAGTTTTTTAAATGTTTAATGTTTTATTATGTTTTAATATATGTTGGAAGCCGCCCAGAGTGACTGGGACAACCCAGTCAGATGGGTGGGGTATAAATAGTGAAATTATTATTATGGAATAGGACGTCCTATTTTCTTCAGAGAAATGTTGGAGAGTGTGGAAAAATATACCATTGGGTGCTCATCACTAGACCCAGGAAGTGATGTGCTTTAACAATATGATTTAGCAAAAGGATAACTTCGGAGTCAGTGGATTTCTTGCCTTCAGAATTTTAATATGTATGATGTTTCCAGCCCTGGGGTCCTCGGTTGAAGATGTGTGGGAAATCAGAAGCTGCCAGAATGAGGGGGCACTATGGCCATTATTATATGAAACTTGAAAACTTGCAGAAAAGGCCCTTTGAGCAGGGTGATGATCCTTGTATCAGCGAAAGATTGGAAGAGTATTATAAGCAGAAAGGACAAAAACCACCACCACCACCACCTCACTGGTAGGGTTTTTTTCTTCTTGAATATTGATACATCTCATGATTTTGACATGGGTATTCTTGACTGTGTAAGAATTGGCAAGATTTTGTTTGCTTGCTTGCTTGCTTTCAGTTTGATCCCACACCAAATTAGGTAAGCTAAAGCCCATTGATTTCAAGTTCATGTTCAAATTTGAAATTCTGAAGTGATACTGAATACGTTTGTCTGCAACGTATGTTGTGGCAGCAACATTTATTTTATTTATTGCATGACATTTATATACCATTCAGTTGTAGTAAAACTTCAAAGTGGTTGGCAAAAAAACACACGATCAGTTTTAAAAAGTTACAAAAATATTTAAAACATTTTTTTAAAAAAATCAGCAACAAGCCAAAACCAGATTAAAACACATAACAGCACCGACTAGTCTTGACAGACTTGCCTAAACAAAAATGTTTTTAGCAGGTGCCGAAAAAAGTACAGTGCCTATCTGGTATCAGTAGACATGGAGTTTCAAAATATAAGTGCTGAGATGCTAAAAGATAAATTTCTTACAAGTGCAAAACAATACATGTCACCTGTAACAGCCCGTCCCTCAGATAGAATTGATCCTGTGGGCATATATGTGGTTGATAATTATTCAGCTTCAGGTAGGGCGAGTATGGGATTGCTAGACCATTTATGACTGAAAAATAGAGAAGCAGTGTGAAAAGGTTAGACTTCCAATTTCACCTTTTAATCTATAGTTTTTGTATTCAGTATAATTTGCTAATAAAACTTGGAATCCAGCTTCAGATTTTCGCTGATGTTCCTGTTTCTTCACAGGCCTGCAGAATATCTTCAGAGACGATACAATGCCCAGCAATACAAGATAAAAGTAGAGAAGCAACTTGTAAGCATTTTTCCCAATAAGATAGAATAACAAATTGAAACCGATAAGCAATGGGCAAATAGAGGGATATTTAAAAATGCACTAGCATGAAAAAAACCTCCAACTACATTTTACTTTTCCATTCATTGGAGTGGGTTCAGAAATGTTTACATTTTGTATGTTTCCATTATTTTGCATATAGGGATTGCGCCCATCTTCTGCTGACCGGCAGTATTTTCAAATGCAGAATCAGGAGATGAAGGAAGAGCAGTTGAGAGCTCTTGCTCAAAAAAATAAAATGAAAGAACAGGTAAGAAAGAGCAATGTTAGTGCTCCCTTGGGCTAGGAATCATAGACTCTTGTTGTTGTTGTTGTTTAGTCGTTTAGTCATGTCCGACTCTTCGTGACCCCATGGACCAGAGCACGCCAGGCACTCCTGTCTTCCACTGCCTCCCGCAGTTTGGTCAAACTCATGCTGGTAGCTTCGAGAACACTGGCCAACCATCTCATCCTCTTTCGTCCCCTTCTCCTTGTGCCCTCCATCTTTCCCAACATCAGGGTCTTATCCAGGGAGTCTTCCCTTCTCATGAGGTGGCCAAAGTACTGGAGCCTCAGCTTCAGGATCTGTCCTTCCAGTGAGCACTCAGGGCTGATTTCCTTAAGAATGGATACGTTTGATCTTCTTGCAGTCCATGGGGCTCTCAAGAGTCTCCTCCAGCACCATAATTCAAAAGCATCAATTCTTCGGCGATCAGCCTTCTTTATGGTCCAGCTCTCACTTCCATACATCATTATCTCACTACATCACTACATAGAGTCTTATGCATAGATCCATGTAAATCTGCTACTGCAAAACCATAGTACAGGCATTCTTTTTAGTATGGGAATACAGGTGGTGTTGCTTTTAAGCACTGCCATATTTGTTAGGGCAGAAGTAGTTACACATTTTGGAGCCATCAGCACTGGCAATTAATGGTGGATTGCTTAGAACTAGTGCTATATCTTCTAGTCTTAGCTTTTGGGGTCTTGTGTGGGGTAGAGCAATCCATATCTGTGATCCACCGTGCTGGGTTGGATGAGGTGCCCCCTCTACTCAGCTTGCCCAGGTGTGTCAAGCTGCCATCACAGAGCTCCCAACTACACCTGCTTAAACTACATGTGGTCTGAAGCTACTAATGGCAGCATTCTCACTGGCAGAAGCTGGCCTAAAGCCCCCAATATGGGACATTTTGGGAACAGGGAGAGGGTGGGGAAGGGCAGAGCTGGGCTGGCCAAGGTAGCCAGCCCAGCTACCAGGAGTTGCTGCCAGGAGTTTGGATTGGAGTTTGGATTGCTCTTTTACTTATTTTAGGTGTTCTCAGAGGCTTTGGCATTTGTTTATTTAATATGCCATCTATCTGTTTGGCAGCTACTTAGATAAATTTATTATTATTATTGAGCAGACCACTTCATGCAAGTGAAAGGTCATTTAGTTCCCAAAGTAGTGTGCCGTCATGCTTGGGAAGCTGCTGTTTAAGAAAGGATTAAAATCTTCATAGTTGTGTGTGTGTGTGTGTGTGTGTGTGCGTGCGTGTACATATTTAAATAGTGTACAGATATTTGCTAAAGTCCTTTACACATCATATAAGCTCTCCTGAACACAATGGAATTCCTGAATGGACATGCATAAAATTTTGCTGTTAATGTACATATTACTGATACAGCATGTTGCTTCTAAAGTGGGTACACATTTTTTTAAAAATCTGATAATGTTTAACAGGAATACCTGAAACAGCTGAAGAAGATTCGTCAGCAGTACCACAGTGAAGTAAATGAAATTAGACGTAAAGTAGAATCTCTAGAGGTAAATTTCACTGCACCGAACCTTTACTAGAGCTTTCTCACACCTCCCTTTCCAAGATGTGACAAACTGATAGTAATTATGCTGAAGTTGTTTATCCTTCTATTTAGACTTTTGTAGTGGGAGGATTTTAGCAGTTGAAATCCATTCTGCCCCTTTAGTGATCAATAGGACTGACAAGAGTTTTGGGTGTGAGAGCAAATAGTGTCTAGGAATCAAAGTTCTCACTGCATGCACAAGCAATTCTACACATGTATTACCGTTTCTTTCAAATCAACAACATTTTTAATTTAATATATTCTTGTTTTAAAGGAGAATAAAAATATAAAGGACAAAACATATATTGTGAAACAGAGAAAGACTGAGAACCAACCTACTTATAATTATATTATTCCTGGAGGACAAGATGAACCAGTTCAGGTATTAGCACCTCTGTATGGTACAATATGATAGTTGAAATGTTTACATTAATGGGAAAAGGTCACAGTTTTTTAACACGGTTGACTGTGCTTTATCAAAATATAATAAAAGCATACTTCATTTTTGACTGGAAGTAACTGTGCCTGTTAAATAATTTTTTTTGTCTTACAAGGATCTTGAGCAAAACCTGAGACAAATTGGAGTACATAACTGGCAGGAGGAAAATTTCCTTGAAAGAAAACACAAAGCAAAGGTTAAAGATAATATTATTCTCTTCATTTTGTCCGGTCTTTGTATACTGATAGCTCTGAAAATGGGGTTTCATGTGACTATGTCAGCCAGTGATGATCATGCATGTGATGGCCATTTCAGGTAAGTGGGAGATACAGTGGTGCCCCGCAAGACGAAATTAATTCGTTCCGCAAGTTTTGTCGTCTAGCGAATTTTTCGTCTTGCGAATTATTATTTAGACAAAGGAAACAAAGTCGCGAGACGTTTTCGTCTTGCGAAGCAAGCCCATAGGGAAATTCGTCTTGCGAGGCAACTCGCAAACAGAAAAACCTTTCGTCTAGCGAGTTTTTTGTCTTGCGAGGCATTCGTCTTGCGAGGTACCACTGTATATGCTGTCTTTTCCTATCTTCTTTCCTAATCTACTCTTCCACAAAATCCCATACTGGGTAAGGGAGCGGAAAAACTGAAAGCACATGAGTGGATTGCTACCTTCCCTTGGACCGGAGGAATGATAATCAGCGTCATCATGCTCTCCTAGAATCATAGAATCATAGAGTTGGAAGAGACCACAAGGGCCATCGAGTCCAACCCCCTGCCAAGCAGGAAACACCATCAGAGCACTCCTGACATATGGTTGTCAAGCCTCTGCTTAAAGACCTCCAAAGAAGGAGACTCCACCACACTCCTTGGCAGCAAATTCCACTGTCGAACAGCTCTTACTGTCAGGAAGTTCTTCCTAATGTTTAGGTGGAATCTTCTTTCTTGTAGTTTGGATCCATTGCTCCGTGTCCGCTTCTCTGGAGCAGCAGAAAACAACCTTTCTCCCTCCTCTATGTGACATCCTTTTATATATTTGAATATGGCTATCATATCACCCCTTAACCTCCTCTTCTCCAGGCTAAACATGCCCAGCTCCCTTAGCCGTTCCTCATAAGGCATCGTTTCCAGGCCTCTGACCATTTTGGTTGCCCTCCTCTGGACACGTTCCAGTTTGTCAGTGTCCTTCTTGAACTGTGGTGCCCAGAACTGGACACAGTACTCCAGGTGAGGTCTGACCAGAGCAGAATACAGTGGCACTATTACTTCCCTTGATCTAGATGCTATACTCCTATTGATGCAGCCCAGAATTGCATTGGCTTTTTTAGCTGCCGCGTCACACTGTTGGCTCATGTCAAGTTTGTGGTCAACCAAGACTCCTAGATCCTTTTCACATGTACTGCTCTCAAGCCAGGTGTCCCCCATCTTGTATTTGTGCCTCTCATTTTTTTTGCCCAGGTGCAATACTTTACATTTCTCCCTGTTAAAATTCATCTTGTTTGTTTTGGCCCAGTTCTCTAATCTGTCAAGGTCGTTTTGAAGTGTGATCCTGTCCTCTGGGGTGTTAGCCACCCCTCCCAGTTTGGTGTCATCTGCAAATTTGATCAGGATGCCCTTGAGTCCATCATCCAAGTCGTTGATAAAGATGTTGAATAAGACCGGGCCCAAGACAGAACCCTGTGGCACCCCACTAGTCACTCTTCTCCAGGATGAAGAGGAACCATTGATGAGCACCCTTTGGGTTCGGTCAGTCAGCCAGTTACAAATCCACTGAGTGGTAGCATAGTCAAGACCGCATTTTACCAGCTTCTTTACAAGAATATAATGGGGCACCTTGTCAAATGCCTTGCTGAAATCAAGGTAGGCTACATCCATTGCGTTCCCTTCATCTACCAGGCTTGTAATTCTGTCAAAAAACGAGATCAGGTTAGTCTGACATGACTTATTTTTCAGAAATCCATGCTGACTATTGGTGATCACAGCATTCCTTTCTAGGTGCTCACAGACTGTTTGCTTAATGATCTGCTCCAGAATCTTCCCTGGTATTGATGTCAGACTGACTGGGCGGTAATTATTTGGGTCCTCTCTTTTCCCCTTTTTGAAAATAGGGACAACATTTGCCCTCCTCCAGTCTGCCGGGACTTCGCCTGTCCTCCAGGAATTCTCAAAGATGACTGCCAGTGGTTCTGAAATCACATCTGCCAGTTCTTTTAATACTCTTGGATGCAGTTCATCTGGCCCTGGAGACTTGAATACATCTAGACTAGCCAAGTATTCTTGTACTATCTCCTTAGTTATTCTGGGCTGTGTTTCCTCTGCTGAATCATTTGCTCCAAATTCTTCAGGTCGGGCATTGTTTTCTTTATCGGAGAAGACTGAGGCAAAGAAGGCATTGAGGAGTTCAGCCCTTTCTGTGTCCCCTGTTTGCATTTCACCATCTTCTCCTCTGAGTGACCCCACTGTTTCTTTGTTCTTCCTTTTGCTACGAACATACCCATAAAAGCCTTTTTTGTTGCTTTTAACCTCTCTAGCAAGCCTGAGTTCATTCTGTGCTTTAGCTTTTCTGACTTTGTGTCTACACATGCTGGCTATTTGTTTGAATTCCTCCTCTGCCTGTATTTCAGATGATGGCATGAGGATTCTTTAAAATATATGTCTGTGATAGTTGGTAACTCTTTTTTTATTTTTTTCAGGGAGGTGTAAAGTTTCAGATTGATCTGAAAGATGGTGTTTCAGATTTCCAGAAAGAGAAAGAGGTATGGGCTATTGTTATATGTTACACCAGGTTAGCCTAGAAAACGGTTTGGCTGGAGAAAAACAAGCTAAGCCTCATAGTTTGTTATGCTCAAAGAGAGGCAGAGATAAGTGATTGAATACCGTGGAGAAGCATACTCCTCATTCATAAAGCCATAATTTATTTTTGACCGTGGTTTACTGCTGCATGTGGGCCTATGTGCATGAATTGAATAAGTTCTCAATGTGCATTGTTTCTTTTGATTTTAGGAATGTGACAAACTTAATGAAGCCCTAACTTTTGAAGATGGAGAAAACCTTAAGAAAAAACTGACAAACATCTGTGATGATTATATAGACAAAGCACTGCTAGAACTACAGTGTTGGGAAACAGGTGTGCTTCTCTAAACTGCTAGACTTTTTGGTGTGCTGTTCCCATTATTCATTTGCAGTTACATTCCTTCATGTTCTTTCTGTTGCTCATATTATGTAAGCCTGTATTTCTTAGAGCTTATTTGTATAACTTTTGTTTGTTTTTGTGTTGGGCATACAATGAGACTGTCTTGTCACCATGCACCTGATCAGCTCAGTTTTTTTGTTTTAGTTTTGTTAGGCCAGTGATAATATGTAATCAGTATATAACAAGAATGAGTTCCATGCATAACTTCATTACAATATACAGTGGTGCCTCGCAAGACGAAATTAATCCGTTCCGCGAGTCTCTTCGTCTTGCGGTTTTTTCGTCTTGCGAAGCACGGCTATTAGTGGCTTAGCGGCTTAGTGGCTATTAACGGCTTAGCGGCTGTTAACGGCTTAGCCCCTTAGCGGCTTTAAGAGAAAGGAAACAAACTCGCAAGAACTCGCAAGACGTTTCGTCTTGCGAAGCAAGCCCATAGGGAAATTTGTCTTGCGGAACGACTCAAAAAACGGAAAACCCTTTCGTCTAGCGAGTTTTTCGTCTTGCGAGGCATTCGTCTTGCGGGGCACCACTGTATGTGCTGAAAAATCAACCAATGGACCTTTGTGTCTCATAATTAACACCAGATTTTTATCCATTCAGATTTAAAAGCAATTGAAGGTAATCTCCTTTCCCTTAGGTGGTGACAATGAAGATGATGCCATAATAAACAGAAAACACTGGCAAACGTCAGTCCCGCAGGCTCTTCTGAATCTTCTAGAAAATGCAGATATTTCCTCTACATCCACTACCATGGATGAAGCAGGTAATCTCTTGGGGAGCATTTTCTGTTACTTACTCCACTTGGAGTCTTTTACATGTGAAATACAGTGGGCATTTCAGAAAGGTGCTCTACTGCAGTGGCGTAGCGTGGGGGGTGCAGGGGGGGCCGGGCGCACCTGGTGCAACATCTGGGGGGGCGCTCCACGGGTTAGGGGGCGCAAAATCCACGGGTTAGGGGGCGCAAATTACTTGCCTTGCCCTGGGTGCTGACAACCCACGCTACGCCACTGCTCTACTGTGACCTGAAATATCATTTCCATAGTTCCCAAAGTGCAAGAGAGGCATCCCTAAAAAATTACTTGTGGGTGCTAAGCTACACTATGAGCAGGCTGTTTCCTGACCATTCCTAGCCTAGTGTGCTTGCTCAGAGCTATTTTAATTCTACGTTTTCTCTGAAAAGGTCAGCAAACCCTGCTCTGTTCCCTCCCTATCTCTATAGTCATCATCCATTCAGCTGTATTCAGCTGTTTTCCGAAATAGTTCATGAACCTCCTAACCCACCAGAGGCCCCTAAGACAGTTTTGTCTTCGTTTAGAAATACTTTACACTGTCATCTTCCTGTCCTTCAAATATTTTGTCTTTGGAAAAAATGTTCCATAGTGCCGTTGCCTGAGCAAAAGTGTCGGCAAATGAATGCACCTTTGTAGAAGGATGAATTATGATTACAGTGGTACCTCGGGTTAAGAACTTAATTTGTTCTGGAGGTCCATTCTTAACCTGAAACTGTTCTTAACCTGAAGCACTACTTTAGCTAATGGGGCCTCCTGCTGCTGCCGCCGCGTGATTTCTGTTCTCATCCTGAAGCAAAGTTCTTAACCCGAGGTACTATTTCTGGGTTAGCGGAGTCTGTAACCTGAAGCATCTGTAACCTGAAGTACCACTGTACAGGAGCAAGAGAGGAAGCAGAAGGCAGAAAGTTCTTGACACTTGGAGGTGAAATGCAGTGTGGCTAGTTTTACATGAAAGCCTTGATAATGCAGAGTGAGTGAACTAATGTATTATTATTTCTCAGTGGGCCAGGTTAGCTTGATGCCTCCAGAATTCCCTGAAAACAGGAGAAAATGGAGCCAAGAATCACCTGGGACACTGATGAACATGCTAGCTGAAGCAGAATGTGCCAGTGACACTTTATGCCAAGCCGAAGAACACAGTAAGTTGCTACTTACATATTTTGCTACTTGATAGTCACATCTGAGATTTATTTGACATTGCGTGCAGCTACTGAATATATCAGGGATGCGGGTGGCGCTGTGGGTTAAACCACAGAGCCTAGGACTTGCCGATCAGAAGGCCGGTGGTTCGAATCCCTGCGACGGGGTGAGCTCCCGTTGCTCGGTCCCTGCTCCTGCCAACCTAGCAGTTCAAAAGCACGTCAAAGTGCAAGTAGATAAATAGGTACCACTCTGGCGGGAAGGTAAACGGCGTTTCCGTGCGCTGCTCTGGTTCGACAGAAGTGGCTTCGTCATGCTGGCCACATGACCTGGAAGCTGTACACCGGCTCCCTCGGTCAATAAAGCGAGATGAGTGCCGCAACCCCAGAGTCGGCCACAACTGGACCTAATGGTCAGGGGTCCCTTTACCTTTTACCTTACTGAATATATCAGTGCACTTAACCTACGCACAACAAGCACACAGGTTGAGGGTGGAAGCTTGAACTGCCCTAAAACAGACAGAATCTGAGTAATGTTCATAGCTCAGTACACAATACTGAGCATAAAGAAAATAGGAGGATGGTTTTAAAACAATCAGTCATGCTATTTTTAACATACCATGATATAAAGGCAACATGTATGCTTGAAGTAAATGGGGAAAGTTGCTGTGGCGTTCATACGGAGCCCCCAGTCCTCTCACGGACTATTGACCTGTACACCACTAATCCACTGCCACCAACCAGGTCCTCCCTGGTAAAATCACTTCAGTCTCAGTCAGCTTTTCAATTAATAAGAAGAGTGTATTTTATTTCAGACACAAACAAAACTTTTACAGCATTCCAAACGTTGTTGCTCTTTACTTTCTTAGTCTTATTTTCCTCTCTCTGTCTCTTCTACCTCCCCACACTCAAGAACCCACTGCCCTAACTGTCTCTCTATTACCAACTGCCTTTCCCAACCAGCCAACCACGAAATCCAACCAACTACCCACCCACAACTCCCAACGAACTCCTTCCCGAACTCCTCCCACAACTAGTTTTTATAGACCCACTGACTCCACCCCCCTGAGTCCTGTCTGTGCAACCTATTTCCCCTCCAGCACTCTCTCATATATGTTAACGTCACAGTTGCCTACAGTAAAATTGTGCCCAAACATCTTATACAACCAATGATCGCTTGCAGGATAAATTGGAAAGTTAAGAAGCTTCATGGTAATGAAACAATGTGAAAGATCATCTAGTAATTACAAACTTAATAATGCCTATCCAGAACCTTATGAGAATGCTGTAGAGCAGGCTTCCTAAATCTCGGCCCTCCAGATGTTTTGAGACTACAATTCCCAGCATCCCTGACCACTGGTCCTGCTAGATAGGGATCATGGGAGTTGTAGCCCAAAAACATCTGGAGGGCCGAGGTTGAGGAAGCCTGCTGTAGAGTCTTATATATTTTTCAATTCCAGCAGAAGGCTCGGTTCACAGTGTTTCAAGCAGAATTATTCCTCACTGAGCTTATATGAGGTTTGGTGTCCTGCATATTAAAAGAGGTGGTTTCATCGAATCCTTGCTGAGCAAGGGGCCACCTCTATCAGGCTAGCAATAGTGACCACTTGTCCACTAACCTACCTGGAAGTACCACTTCACACAAATAGAGAGAGTGCCTTTATGCAAGTTTGGCCTAGTCCCATTGTGAATTTGGAAGGCAGTTCTCTGTGGGCTACCTCATGTGAACTGGCCCCATATATTTAGATTAGATTAGCATCGGGCATAAACCAAATAGTGATACTGCTTGCTGTAAATTCAAAGTGGCTTACAATCTTAAAAACACAATAAAACCAACTAAAACATTTTCTGCTTCAGAGGAGACGGTAACCCCATGCACTCCAAAAAATGATGAAGCTGATTCAGAAGCGAGTTCTGAATCAGAAGTGGATGCTGCTGTTGAAGTGGATGAAGAAAGGCTTGATCCGAGATCTGATGACGATGATACGTAAGTTGGCCTTTGCTTCTTTGACAGTATCAGCGTAACATAAAAGACTCTCAAGCAACAGTATTTTTGAGCTGTTGAAACCTTTAGATTTGTGACAAATGTATAGAATGGGGAGAATCAGCAACCTCACCAATTTAATAGCATAGTTCTGTCTAGATAAATTAGTGTAATTGCTAAAAACCAGCATGCTGTTTGCTTTGAAAGGTGTCTAACTTACACTTAAGCTCATGTTTAATATAAAGTACTGACAGTGGGCAAACTGATAATTTAGTAAAAATAGGTTGACTAGCAAGCTTGGTGAAGCTAAAACTCCAGAACTGAATACTTGGCTCTCAGTCTCAACATTGTCTGAACCAGCATTGAAGGATGAAAAACAGGAGGAACAGCAAATACTTTCATACTGCTCTTTGCTAACTCCTACTAATAGGTCTCCCTTGAGCCACAAAATCTTAGGCGCCCCTGGCTTAAACAAATAGCACTTTCAGACAGTCCTGCTGATGCCTTAAAGCTGGTGAGATGGGAACTCTGTATCCTCACAAGGCAACTGTGTAGGGCCCCATTAACACATAAACTAGCTCCCACATTTTCAAAAAAAATTTCTTTGATAAATATTGGCCAGTTTAGAAATTCAACATTATGATAACTCGATCAAGAATCGTAAGTAATAGCCGTTTTATCCTATTAATTTAATCTGTTAACGCAGTAACTTTGAAGAATCTGAGGATGAATTGAGGGATGAACTGGTAGAATCCCTGGAAAAAGTAGTAACATCTCTTCAAGAGGAGATTATAAAAGCCCCAGCTGAAACAGAAGACACAGATGAACTGAAAAAAGAAGCGGTATCCAATGGTAACCTTAAATCCACTGAAAGTTTGGAAGAGGATGGTAACCTGACTAAAGACAAACAGGAAGGAACAATCAGTTAACACTCTCTTGGGGAATAGTTCCTTAAGAATGACTGGTAGCTAGTGGAATGTGTTTAAAGAAATGATTCTCTTTCTAGGCTTATCAACAACTATTTGGGACCATAATTACAGAGGTGAGAGGTACGGTCAGGTACTGCAAGGCAGTTCAGTTTAACTAACTTTACATGACTGGTTCCTTGCCTTCCTTCATTTTGACATTATCTTTACAACATTTAGTTCCTCATTCTCCAGTTGCACATTATGTTACTTATATATAAAAACATCATTAGGGATTTGCAGCCCAGAACAAGTTGATGTCTTGATATGGAAGCACTTTATTAATCTTTCCCCCACAAGTCTTACTCAGCTAGAGACCTTGCAGCATAGCCTACAGAACAGAGTGGTGCTTTTTTTAAGGGAATGTCACCATGGCTATTTCCCTTGCATGCTTCCAAGGGTTGTCTGATAGTGGAGTAGTCAGTGTGGAAGAACTCTTTCCTCTTTTGAGGAACTGCCACTCCCAGGTACCATGGCTTGCAGTTCAGGATTATAGGATGTGTGGTCTAGCAACAGTTAAGGAAGGCTGGTGTTTGTTTAAAGCTGTATGTTTAGAGCTGCTATAGGTCAATCATCATGACACACACCTTGTGTGATTTCTTATGCTGATGCCTTACCAGATTTAACCAGCAGGATAAGAAATCTTTATTGAGGCTGTTCTACTGTAGACTGCCTTGGGGCACAGGTGATCATTCGTGATTAAATGCCCCTCCCAAAAATCCACTGAGTCCTTCAAGGACAGCCTTTTCATGACTCTGTATTCATTATGCCAAGCAGATCCTTGAAATGGGAAGAAACTTATTAGAAATTCACTCTTCAATTTCATATGTAGTTTTATGTTGATAAATTATGGGAAAAATAATCTGGGACAAATGTAGATTCAACACGATGCCACAAATTCATTTTAAGATTAAACAGCTTGCTCTTTTAAGAAGCTAGGACTGAGTTTTCACCACGGGAAGCTGCTGTGTATATTTTGTAATATGATTATTCAGCCCAGCTACTAGATCCTTAAGCATATTATGTATCATTTCATATCTGCTTGTGTCTATATGTAAGTTTGGGAGCATACTCTGTCAGACTGTCATACAGGAATAAGATACCCTTTATTGTACAATAGAAATACAGCAACTGTATATACATAACGACTTATGTCCAGGTATCTATTTACAAAAGTTTATTTAAATAATTGTTCCACAGATAATAGGAATGTTTCCTCAAATTCTTGTTCTGCAAATCTCTTCACTGACTGACGAGCGGTTTGTCTGATTTCTAGCCTTTTGGTAGGAGGCAATGAAAATATATAGGCCATAGTATCTGCATAGTCGTCTTCATTTTCTGCTAGAAATCCAGTAATATTTCCTTCATAGGGCACCACAATATCCAGCTTGGGGCCTCCAGAATTGTGAGCAAGGATAATTGTGCCAGCTGCCATACATTCAACAATTCCTATATGAGACAAAACAAGCTATTGTTAACTACAGTTCTCACCATAACTAAGGATTTTAGTGTCACTTTAAAAGCATGAAGAAGAAGAGTTTGGATTTGATATCCCGCTTTATCACTACCCTAAGGAGTCTCAAAGCAGCTCACAATCTCCTTTCCCTTCCTCCCCCACAACAAACACGCTGTGAGGTGAGTGGGGCTGAGAGACTTCAGAGAAGTGTGACTAGCCCAAGGTCACCCAGCAGCTGCATGTGGAAGAGTGGGGAAGTGAACCTGGTTCACCAGATTACAAGTCCACCACTCTTAACCAATATACCACACAAAATAGGCTGGATCCTGAGATCCCACTCATAGAAAAAGGTACTCCTCACACTGTTACAAAACAAAAGGGAAGCAGATTTTGGGAACTGCAAAGGGGGAGGGTCCCTGAAAATCTTTTCCAGGAGTATGAGATAGTACAGGAAGTGGAATCACCAACCGCTTCTGTTAAGAGCACAATTTCTTGGTAGAAGAAGTGCTATGACATTGGTTCAAAACCATAATGTGTACAAAATGGAAATGGTGACCTGTTTGCATTCTACAGCAAAATAGATCCCAAAAAATGATCCAGCAAAAGTAGCTGTCAGAATGATTGTGACAGGGATATGCAAAACCGTATCATGATGTGCACACACAGTTTTGTGGAAAAGAGGCTACTTGTGACACCTCCCTCGGCTGGCTCATTGAGAAGATTAGACATGTAAGTAGGATTTCGCTCAGCATCTGCATTCAGTGATGATAGTGAATTCCTCTTGAGCTTACAGCTTATGCTGACAGTTTTCAATTTTTGAAAGGGATACAGGGAGGGGGAAGAGAGCAACTGATTTCCCTTACAACGAAGGGAAAAAAGTAGATGAAAAATCCATGTTTGTAACCTGGGAAAAGATAAAAGTCATTTCCAAGTAATCTAAACTGTGAGAGTTCAGCACTGGAACAAACAGCCAAATGAGTTTGTAGAATTTCTCTCCATTAAGATTAGCATTCAATATGCTGGTCAGGCATTATGTTGGGATATTTTTTAGGGTGTGATGTGCAATAAGGAAAAGAGATAATACTAGATTGGATCCCTTCCAAATTTACAGCTCCCAAGAATGCACAATATGGAAGTAGCTGAACACAGTATCAGTTTGATGGAAGAACAGATGAAAACAGCACTAAAGCACATTATAAACTCATAATTAGCCATGAGTTTCAACACCAGGAGCTAAAGAAATGATACAGCTGACTATATATAGCTCCACTTACCAATCCCAAAGTGTTCATTCCACATGGTGTGAAGTCCAATGGTCGCATCTGCCAGATGTTGCTTCAGCTCTTCAAATGGAATGTTAACTTTGAATTCTACCCTTTTTTCAATGCCCAACTCTTGGCAGAGCTTTTTAAGTCCATTTACACGCTGCTCATCTTCTTGGTTACGACAGCCACCAATCAGAATGAGTTTGGGCAGCAGCTCCTGCCCTGCAGTCTTTTCCAGCAATTTAGCAAAGGCTCTGATCTGCAGACGATGTTCTTTTTCTGGCCTAAACTGGCTTACAGAAACAATAGTTTGCTCCACAGTGTTCTTTTCCTCACGTAGAGGAATATCCAAGAATGTCTGAACGTCACAAGGTGGATACACAACACTGGTGCGGTCACTGCACCTCCAAAGGGAAAGGATGTGATTTAAAGTCCACGAAGAATTAACCATGACAATGTCACTGCAAGAACCAACTAAGCCATATATAGAAGCAAAAATATAATAATATGTGAGTTTCAATTTACTCAATAGGGGGTTTCTTGTGATGACTGCTGCATTATTAAATCGAGCATTCTGGTTCCTAACCACAGAAAGCATGTCAGTGCTGATCGTAGGATAATGAACATAACAGCCTATCCGACAACCTCCTAAATATTTAAAAAGAGGAAGTGTGAAAGCATAACCCATGGAGTCAATGTAGACGTCAGGAACACAGTTCACAAGAGCTTCCCAGCCAAGGAATACAGATCCTAAGCTCTGACCCAGCAGTGTAAAATGTGGGTAAAGGGAAGCTTCTACAAGATAGCGCCTTCTCAAAAACACAAACTTCACAGGTTGATTTAATCTGATGTTGAATCGTCTGTAAGCACCTTCAAGGATATTTTCAGCTGTGACACCAGCATCACCAGTGTAGACAACATAGGACACATCCTTGTACCTGAAAAATGAAACGTAATTTATCATCTGCAAATCATCTTAATTTTACACTCAGTAAAAGAGTCCATTTATGGGAAGACGCTTTAATTTGATTGCCTTTCTTGGAATGTCTAAAACTACAACCATCAGCCACTATTTATCTTTCTTTTCTGTACAACTACTAAGCTCTGTTTTCCTTGTATGCATGTTTTGTTACTTGAAATTAAAAAGCAATTAAAATAAAGAGACTGTCAAAAAAAAACAAAAAAACACGCAAGTTTAAAAGTGTTGTATAAATATGCTGTAAATAGATATAAAAAATAAGGCCGGCACAATACCCAAGCAGTCTTGTTGCTGTTTTGTGAGCAAGTATTTTATATATATATATATATGCATATTTAAGGACAACAGACCAAAGATGCAATACAGGTGTAAGAAAATAACAAATGAAAAGCAAACAGAAACCGCAAGGTAAAACTGATCTTAACTGAGGAGTATCATCTTATCAACCCAGCTTGTTATTTTCATTGGCCACAAGTACATGTAACACTAAACTCCGGTTTATTACTATGGATGAACTTGAATAAGCCCCAATTATGTTTTAGGCTCGGGGGATGCGGGTGGCGCTGTGGGTAAAACCTCAGCGCCTAGGACTTGCCAATCGTCAGGTCGGCGGTTCGAATCCCCGCGGCGGGGTGCGCTCTCGTTGCTCGGCCCCAGCGCCTGCCAACCTAGCAGTTCGAAAGCACCCCGAGTGCAAGTAGATAAATAGGGACCGCTTACTAGCGGGAAGGTAAATGGCGTTTCCGTGTGCTGCGCTGGCTCGCCAGATGCAGCTTGTCACGCTGGCCACATGACCCGGAAGTGTCTTCGGACAGCGCTGGCCCCCGGCCTCTTAAGTGAGATGGGCGCACAACCCTAGAGTCGGACACGACTGGCCCATACGGGCAGGGGTACCTTTACCTTTACCTTTAATGTTTTAGGCTCATGCACTCCGCTTTCCTCTGCAACTGGGAAGAAGACTTCTGATGACTTCACTTTTAAAGAATCCTAACTTAGTATTGTTTTCAAACTTGGGATATTTCATTTAAACAAACAGTTGTAGTTTAACATGCCAGCTGCATAAGCTATGATTTGCAGTTTGCTTGTTATAGCTCGTCCACATAGAGTTAAACCAGCCTTTGCGAACCTGGTGTCCTCCAAATGTTTTGGGCTACAACTCCCATCAGTCCTAATTAGTGAACTGGTAAAGGCAACGCTAACCATGGTTTAGCATAATGTGTGAATGCAACCATTGCTTTCAGGAAATGAGGGATTAATGCAATAAACAAACATCACTGTACGAAAAGTGAAATGCATACTTACTTTTTCTGTAGTGCTTTTATAGCACACCACAATACTCTCTCACCTCCTCCCCCTGCATTGCAGTATGGGTGAAAAAATGCAACCACAAGTGGCCTTTTCCCGTCTCGCCCTGATGGAATTTGTTGTTTTTTCCTTTGTTGGAGCCATAGCCGTAAACCAAACAGGAGCAGGAGCAGGCAGACACATAAAAATCCACTAAGTAACAAGGCAGGGAAAGCCAATGAGTACAGCAATCTGAAATGGGAAGGAGAGGGAAGTGGAATTATAGCGACAATTCTGAAAACTATAAAGTTCAGCAAGGAGAGCCAATGTTTGTTTCCATATGAAAACAGGTACCGTATTTTTCGCTCCATAAGACACACCTGACCATAAGACGCACCTAGTTTTTAGAGGAGGAAAACAAGAAAAAAAATATTCTGAATCTCAGAAGCCAGAACAGCAAGAGGGATCGCTGCGCAGTGAAAGCAGCAATCCCTCTTGCTGTTCTGGCTTCTGGGATAGCTGCGCAACCTGCATTCGCTCCATAAGACGCACACACATTCCCCCTTTTTAGGAGGGAAAAATTGAGTCTTATAGAGCAAAAAATACGGTAATTGTTTTTGTTATGGCAACCCTATCGACATGGATGAAGCCCAGACTGAAGGGAAATGGAGGAGCCTGGCAACTGTACGAAGTATTTTGCTTCCCATTCATGCTTTGGCTACATTCGGCTCAGAAATCTTTCCCACCTGCCATCAAACATCAAGTGGGTGGTGGATAAGAGAAGAAACAAACAAGCTGAAATTTATCAGCCTTCATTTTGACAAAGGGATTTCTATTCCCATCAGAATGACAGGCAAAGTCTTAACACAAAGCAGGCAAACCAAATCCAGAAGTGTGCAGATGTATATAATGGACACAGGCAACTGAACAGTGATTTCAGCAAGAAGGGGCTTGGCTGGGAAGGAGAGGGAGCTCTGGACTGGTCAGAAAAGGGAAAGAAGAGCTGGACTGGACATAAATGAAGAAGGGAGGACGACCCCCCAGCAGTGATGGGCATGGCTGAGAATCATAATATTGCAGAGTTGGAAGGAACCCCAAGGGCTTTTTAGTCCAACCTCCTGCAGGATTAACATTCTATGGCTTTTTAAATGTGTGTGGGATGGCAGTTATTGGTTTGTTTTTGTTTCTGCTTTATTATGTATTTTGTATTTTCATTTTGCATTTTTCTGCAGTGAACCACAGGTGAAGGGCAGTACCTAACTTTAATAATTATTGTATAAACTTTTTGGCAGAACAACTCTGCGTTGTAAAAACAGAAAAGCTGGCAAATTTAACCCTGCTGTGTGGGAAATCCCTAACAGACGACCACAGTACCAAGTGACAGGTTGTGTATCCACAGCAGTGACCAGAGGAGGAATGACCGCTTGGAGGAGCGCAGAGAGAAGAAACGCCATGGTGCATCTGCATCAGCTCCACTGGCCCCCTTCCTCTGCCCCAGCTGCAAGAAAACATCTATCTCCCGTATCAGTGTCTACAGCCACAGCAGGCACTGTAACTCTCCAAAGGTTTAACTTCACCCTGCCCCACCAAAAAGTGTGTTCCTCCACAGACTGTCAGTCAGGCAGATGCCAACAAGAACAAAACTAAAGAACCCCTTCCTGGGTACCATTTCCATTGTCCCTTTTTGTTTTCTCCTGGTACGTCATCGACCAAGATGGATCTGTCGGGATCTCTGCTTGGCCAAGCTGATAAAGCTCATCTTCCTCCGGAATCGCCTTCCCGACAAACAATTAACGACCTGAGCCTTTGATGAGGCCTCAGACACATTCCCATTCAGCAGAGAATCAAATCAGGAGAAGTGATGAGATTTATGGCGACATCGCTATGCTTTATTTCTTACTACGCAGACAGCAAAGAAATACAGTGGTGCCTCGCAAGACAAAAAGAATCCGTTCCGCGATTCTTTTCGTCTAGCGGTTTTTTCGTCTTGCGAAGCAAGCCCATTAGCGGCTAAGCGGATTAGCGCTATTAGCGATTTAGCGGCTATTAAAGGCTTAGCGGCTAAGCTGTTAAAAGGCTATTAACGGCTTAGCGGCTTTGAAAAAGAGGGGGGAGCGGAAAAAAAGGGTGAGACTCGCAAGACGTTTTCGTCTTGCGAAGCAAGCCCATAGGGAAATTCGTCTTGCGAAGCGCCTCCGAAACGGAAAACCCTTTCGTCTAGCGGGTTTTTCGTCTTGCGAGGCATTCGTCTTGCGGGGCACCACTGTATACACCCTCTCTCTATGAAAGCAGAGAGCAACTGAACAACAAAGGAACAGGAAACCAGTAACGTCACATCCGTCTCCCATTCCCGTGAGACTGCCAACAGCCTGGACTGTCTCTGGAATGTAAACAGAGCCTTGTGACTCTAAGCAGCTGCTCAGTGGCAAACAGAAACTAGCAGGATCAAGGGGTCTGGAAACCAAGCCTTATGAGGAACGGTTGAGGGAGATCTCGGGTATGTTTCTCCTGAGAAAGAGGAGATAGGATAGACATCTTCAAACATCTCAAGGGCTGTCACATGAAAGATGGAGCAAGCTTGTTTTCTGCTCTGCCGGAGGACCAATGGCTTCCAGTTATAAGAAAGGAGATGTTCCGACTCAACATCAGGAATAACTTTCTGGCAGTAAGAGCTGCTGGGCAGTGGGACAGACCCCTTCGCAAGTTGCTCCCTCTCCTCCCTTGGGAGGTTTTTAAGCAGAGGTTGGATGGCCGCCTGCCACGGATGCTTTAGCTGACCTTCCTGCATTGCACGGGGCTGGACTAGATGACCCTCAGGGTCCCTTCCAACCATAGCTGTCAACTTTCAGATTTGAAAATAAAGGATCAGCAGCCTCACCTGTCCTGGGGACAGTCTACGGGATATCTAACAATCCGGGATAGCAGCGAGAAACGGCGCTAGAATAAGGGAATTTCCCGCAAAAAAAAAAGGGAAGGTTGTCAGCTATGCTTCCAACTCGATAGGTCATGGAAAAATAAGACACCCCCTGAAAATAAGACCTAGCGCACCTTTGGGAGCAAAATTAATATAAGACCCTGTCTTATTTTTGGGGAAACAGGGTAGCTGCTGGGCAGTGGGCCAGACCCCTTTGCCAGTTGTTTCCTCTCCTCCCTTGGGAAGTTTTAAAGCAGAGGTTGCATGGCCGCCTGCCATGGATGCTTTAGCTCAGTGTTCCCCAACCTTGGGCCTCCAGCTGTTTTTGGACTACAACTCCCATCATCCCTCGCTAGCAAGACCAGTGGTCAAGGATGATGGGAATTGTAGTCCAAAAACAGCTGGAGGCCCAAGGTTGGGGAACACTGCTTTAGCTGGCCTTCCTGCACTGCAGGGGGCTGGACTAGATGACCCTCAGGGTCCCTTCCAACGCGATACCTCAGGCGTCGCCATGGCGTCCTCCCCGCCCCGCAGAGTCCGCCGCAGGTGACGAGCGACTGGTTCTCCGCGTCCCGCCCCCCTCCTCGGGCCTTTGGCAGGGGAAATGTCCCTCAGACATTCGTCCCTCGGGAAGCGGCAGCAGAGAGGCGCCGAGGCTGAGGGAAGAGGGGAAAAGAGAGCGCAGCTCGCACCTGAGAAGCGGCCCGGCCGGGAAAGGCGCCATCGCGGAAGCCGCCCTCAGGTTCCGGAACCGGAAGTCGTGCTCCTTCTCCCCGCCTCTCCCAATCCCGTCGTCCTTCACCTTCATGTTTTACCTCAGGGAGCAACGGCCATTTAAAGTGAGCGCCGCTCGCTAATGCCCGGCGGCAAACAGGTTCCCGCCCCAGAGAGGCGGAGTTAGGGACGGTGAAGTGTCTCATCTCTGCCCGTAAATGCCCACATTCAGATGAAATGCGGGTGTTTAGTTTTATTTTATGGCTCTAATGGAAGCTGTATATCTCTCTCTGCGCGCATCTGCATTTTCATAGCTCTACGGGCATTTTTTAGAGCGTGAGGCATAACCTCATTAAGCCCCATTAGACTACAATTCCCATCAGCCCCGGCGAAAGCGGCCACGGGCGGGGGTGACGGCAATTGTAGTTCTAACGACATCCGGAGGTTAAGGCGAGAGGAGGCCAATCGGAGCTCCCTCCTAGCGTGTCGAGGAGCCAATGAGAGCTCGGAAGGAAAGGCAGCCAATGGCTGGCTTTGATTCGCCAATCTGCGAAGGATGCTAAAATTTAAAGGGTAATGTTAGGAGGGCGGGGAGCTGAGTCTCTGCCATTGGAGGCGATGGAGCGAGCTCTATAATAAGCATGTTTACATCGGATTAATTTTTTCCCGTCTAATTTTTTTTCCCTTTGGAAGGAAGTCTAGATTGAAATGCGAACCTTTTAAAGCTTCCACTTAAAACTTAACTGGGTAGGTTTAAAGCCGGGAAAGTAATCAGGGGTGAAATATGTTGGCTTTATATTTGGAAATGGACTTTTACAAATGTGACACAAAGAAATTGGGTATTGTAGGGTTCCTCCCGGAGCCAGGGATTGCTATACTGACTCAGGGGCTAAAGATCAAGGAGAGGCTGTGTTATTTATCTATAGGCTTCGCCACTGAACCCACGTGATAAATCTTGTTATCTTACTGTTCTCTCTTGTTTGTTTCCCCAGGGTTTTGTGATTTGTTGGGTCATAATTTTCCTTTCGGGGATGGGAAGCGGAAGTGGAGCTGGAAATAGAAGAGTAATGATTAATGACACTTAAAAGGATCCTTTGTTTTGTAAAGCAATCTTAGTGAGAACACTGACCAGTGCTTTTTTCCCCCTGGGGGTACTCAAGGCTATTCAATATCGGCACCTTTTTTTTCTAGAAGAAAAGCATGTCTGCTGACTTTTTGCAGTACTGTACAGTTTAAGGATTGCTTTTGAAGTTCACACCGTAGCTAACCTTAATGTAAATGTCTAAGATAAATATTTTAATGCAATCTGTTTGTAGGCAGTGTAGTGCAGTGGTTCTCAAAGGCTGTGTGGCACACAGAGGACAAGGACAAGCAAAGAAACATTTAACCAGACAGGTCTTTCTATGTAGTGGCACCCGCCCTGTGGATCTCCCTCCCATCAGATGTCAAGGAAATAAACAACTATCTGACTTTTAGAAGACATCTGAAGGCAACCCTGTTTAGGGAAGTTTTTAATGTTTGATGTTTTATCATGTTTTTAATATTCTGTTGGGAGCCGCCCCGAGTAGCTGGGGAAACCCAGCCAGATGGGTGGGATATAAATAATAAATTATTACTATCATTTATTATTTCAACATTTTAGTGTAGCATAGTATAGTATCAAAATAACCTTTTGGATACAGGCAGTGACCATTTTGCGCACTTGCAATTGACCCACAGATCCTTTTGGATACGAAAGAGGGTCGAACGGGGGCGGGGGGCAGATAAGTTAAGGAAGCAATGTGAAAAAAATTGTTTTCAGGATATACACAAAAGATGCCTGTTGCTGGCTGCCGTTCTTTGAACTTTGGAGAAGAAGAGATAACACAGGCATCCTTAAATTTATCCCTTGTACATGAATTAAAGGCGAAATGACACAAATTATTTTAAGCTTTGTTGGACCTAATTTCCATATTTTGACTAAGCTTTAGAATTTTGGGAGAGAGGACAAGTCGTCGTCCCCCCATTTTATTTTGTGAATTACATACCATTTTAACAATTTAAATAGTTAAAATAGTTAAATAAGGGACGCGGGTGGCGCTGTGGGTAAAACCTCAGTGCCTAGGACTTGCTGATCGTAAGGTCGGTGGTTCGAATCCCCGTGACGGGGTGAGCTCCCGTCGTTCGGTCCCAGCTCCTGCCCACCTAGCAGTTCAAAAGCACCCCTAAGTGCAAGTAGATAAATAGGAACCGCTTTATAGCGGGAAGGTAAACAGCGTTTCCGTGTGCGGCGCTGGTGCTGGCTCGCCAGATGCAGCTTTGTCACGCTGGCCACGTGACCCGGAAGTGTCTTCGGACAGTGCCGGCTCCCGGCCTCTTGAGCGAGATGAGCACGCAACCCTAGAGTCGGTCACGGCTGGCCCTGGCGGGCAGGGGTACCTTTACCTTTACCTTTTTAACTATTTAAATAGCACCATTGAAGCACAGTACATGAACTTTACAAATAACAGGTTTGACCAGGCTTCCTCAACCTCGGTCCTCCAGGTGTTTTTGGCCTACAACTCCCATGATCTAGCAGGACCAGTGGTCAGGGATGATGGGAATTGTATTCTCAAAACATCTGGAGAGCCGAGGTTGAGGAAACCTGGGTTTGACTGTCCCCTCTCCCAAGTGGCTCACAGTAGATTTGGGGAAATGAAGGAAAGGGGATTGTTGGGAATGAAATAGGAATGAACAGGGGGGAAATAGGCAATTGTGTCAATAACACATTTTGACAATTACAATAATGTATTGGTTTTCCCAAAAGTTTCCTGGAAACTTAAAACTTTTCAGGAGGGACTTAGTCATATGGGGGTGTTTTGGGGGTAGTTTTAGCAACGAGAGGGGAGGATGGAACCTTTTGTGGCAGTTGGAGACCTACAGACAGTTTTGAGTGGTGCAGCTCGATGAAAGCTCACAGGAAGGAATGTATTTTGATATAAGAGAGAAGATAGGGCAAGGTTGAGAAGGATTTTGAAGGTAAGGACATCTCTTGTAGATTTCCTTTGGGCTTTTGATAATGGTAAAATGTTCTTTTCAAAAATTCTTTGATTTATTATTAGTTGCTAAACAAAATGACGTATTTGAATCACATTGCCATGAGAAAAGGGGCCAACATTCCTTTAGGATAACGTTTATAGCCCAGCTGGATTGCAAAAATCAGTACTCTGCTCAGGGTCCATTAGGAAGAAAGTTCAGGGGATGGTCTCTGAGCTGCTGACGGACTCCTATGGTCCTAATTGAAGAGGGAAGATAGGCAGCAGAGAGGTTTTAGCTGAGGGTTCCTCATCTGACCGCTTGTGGTGTCACTTGGAAAGTGCAAGAAGGAATAATGACAATTCCGTTTTTGTAACTTGAGATGTATAGCTATCTCAAATTGCCTTCTGTAGAACTGGGTGTGTACATATTGTGCCACCACAACAGAATATAGTATAGTAATAAAAACAGAGCTTGCTGTCAGAAATTGTACTTTTTCTTGGTATATTTCTATACAAATATGTCCTTTTTTAGTTTTGTATTGTTGTGAGATATAAATGAACTGCCTGTTTGTGGTATAGTGTTTTCTTACAACAACTGTATTTACAACTTAAATTTGCCGAGTGGTTATTTTTACTTATTTTTTTAAAGAACAGTTCAGTTGAACAACAAAAGAAAAGAAGGGGGGGGGAGAAATAAAATATATACTTATATACATATAGGTAAAGGGACCCCGACCATTAGGTCCAGTGGTAACCGATTCTGGGGTTGCGGCGCTCATCTCGCTTTATTGGCCGAAGGAGCCGGTGTACAGCTTCTAGGTCATGTGGCCAGCATGACTAAGCCGCTTCTGGCGAACCAGAGCAGCACACGGAAATGCTGTTTACCTTCCCGCTGGAGCGGTACATATTTATCTACTTGCACTTTGTTGTGCTTTCGAACTGCTAGGTTGGCAGGAGTATATACATATACATATGTACAATTGTACTTAACTAAAATTGTATTGTTATGTACATATGTACTTACAGTATACTTATCTAATACATAGGCATTGTTATTATCCAAATGCATATATGTTTATTTTAAACCTATATTATGTATTAATGCATTCCAGATATCATTATACTTGCCCGTACAAAGTCTGCGTTTGTAAGCAGTCCATTCATAAGTTGCAAGTGTAGTCATATAGTCAAGCCATTGATTAAATGGAGCTGTATACTTAATCTTTCCAGCACATCAATACCAGTCTTTTGGTCATAATAAGGGCACAAGGAATCCATTTACGTTGTTCAGTTGTCAAATTCCATATTGCTTTAGGTATGTCGTTGAAAAGAATATTTTCATCTGAAATTTTTAACTTTTTCTGCACAGTCATAGTTATACTTTCTCCCAGAACTTAATAAAGAAATAAGGACAATAAAAAGTCAGAAGAAAGAAAAAGAAATGAGAAAGCAATAAAGAGGACTCCACCTGTTAATTATGTATAAAAAGATTATTCAAGCTATTTAAGGTGTTCACTCCAGAATGGTATCAGAATCCTGACTTAGTGTTGTGTTCAAATTAGGGGACCTGTTTTGTTTTGTTTTGTTTTTAAAGGTCTGTTTCACATGTAACACTAAGCCACGGTTTTGTGCTATGTGGGGGAATCTCAGTGAGCCTGAATGAAGAAACTTGCTCACAGGCTTCTCTTTTCCCACTTGAAGCTGTGCTGGATCACATCTTTGCTTGGGTTTGCTGAGGCTCTTCTACATATCATATCACTGAAGTACATCCTTCCCCACCCAACTGTTGCTATCAGTCCCAGCAGCTCCCCCCCCCCCCGCCTTACAGATAATATAAGGCAGCTGCTGTCTGTCTGTTTATATAAGTAGGCTTTACCTTCAGAAAAACACCTAGTCCAATCCTTGCAATGTGGGAATCCACAGCTACCCCTGGGTGGATTTGAACCACCAACCTTCAAAGGGGCAGTTGTAGGCACAAAGGAAACCTAGGAAAAGCTGTCTCTGTGGAACTAAGTGCTGGCACGTGAAATCTTTTATTTAGTCATGAGAAATGTATGCAGTCAATTTCATCCAGTAAACCTATTGGTAAGTAATAGATTAACTGGGCACAAGTAGATTCATATGACCATCATGTGGCCTTTAATTACTGGTTGCAGAGTTGTGGGCTTTTGTTTTTCCCTCCTTCATATACAGTACATGCTGCAGTAGTGGAACTATAGAAGGGTGAGTGGCCCGCTTCCGGAATGCATAGAAATATGTCAGACAAAAGAAGCTTTAGACTGCTGACATTCACAGTAAGTTTACATATTTATAGACTACATTTGTAAGATGTTTTGCGTAGCACATTGATTGTATATTGTATCGTGAATAAGCTGTGGCACCTAAGAGGTGATTAACTTTGTAATTCTAAGTAGTTATTTGGCAGTAAGTCTCCTTAAGCTCAGTGGGACTTCTTTATGAGTAAACGTGCATAGGATTGGGCTCAAAAGTAGTTACTTTGAGGATTTCAGCTACAGTGATTGTGCTGGTCAAGAACAGACTGGCACAAGGGAATACAGTGGTACCTCAGGTTACATACGCTTCAGGTTACATACGCTTCAGGTTGCAGACTCATGCTAACCCAGAAATATTACCTCAGGTTAAGAACTTTGCTTCAGGATGAGAACAGAAATCGTGCGGCAGCAGCAGGAAGCCCCATTAGCTAAAGTGGTGCTTCAGGTTAAGAACAGTTTCAGGTTAAGAACGGACTTCCGGAACGAATTAAGTACGTAACCAGAGGTACCACCGTATATGTTCATGACTTAACATTACAAAAAAGTGTATCAGTGTATGATTGGGCCAAGACAATACTGCGAGGAAGTGACTTTAATAACAAAATGTATATAAATGTATTATGTCATCCTGTTTAGATTGGACCCAAGAGAATATAGTGAGGAAAGAATTGTAATTTATTCTATTGAATCTCAGTATTCTGCTTTTCCTTCAAGAATCTCAGGCAACGTTAGTGGGATTATTGCACTTTTCTCCTCATTTGAGGGAAGGTAAGTTGTGTGTGGCAATGACTGACCCCAAATTGCTCAGTGGGAATTTAAACTCAGGGCTCCCTCATGCAATACTCTTGCATATTGTCTCTCCAGTGGGTTGCGTGATGTTGAGTTTGTAATACTGGTTGGGTTATGAGAAAAGGGGTCAAGTGAGCGATGTATTATGCCTCCTCTACAAATGCATATACAAACATTATTGAGTGCTAGAGTTGTAAGAGCCAGAACTGTGACACACATATTAATTAGGGATGAACAAATTGGTTTCTTTACTAAATTATTTGTTTTCCTCTGTGAGGAAGGAATAAATACATTTCCAGTCTGTGTCACTTTTGCATCAGAACACCCAGGAAGTGTGAGAACTGTTCCAATCTTCACACGAGTCTGGGAAGTTTGGCTCAAGTCAGTTTCATATCAGAATGAGCAAAGATCCGTTTCCTTAAACATACCTAGTTTTAATGCAGCTGTAGCACAGTGGAGCTAGAATGTTCCCTGAAAATTATTCTAAATTATAATTTATTTGGGACTGGATCTTTGGGCAGGATTGATAGGAAAGGGGATTTAACGCTAATCTAGTCTGATTCTGGTTTCATTTTCTAAATGGGTTGTAACCTGATGAGAGCCTCTGGGATACGGCAGTATGAAAACAGAAAAAAAGATGAAGCAGCATGCATGGCGGAAGATTTAGAGGGGCATGATAGTTGCTGTGCCAGCCTGCAACTGGTAGCGCTTTTGAGCCAGGATCAGGACTAGTGCAAGTCACATGAGGCCAGTGGAACTGGGCTGACAGAATCTAATGAATTCAGGTCAGCTCGGCCTGTACCTGAACATCCTGCCAAGGGACCTTCTGCTGGCAGCACTTCCATGTCCACATGTGGTGGGCGGAAAGGGAAGTTCCACACTGCCTCCAGGTGGCAGGAGCCTGGCAGAACTGGGCGGAAGAACACCTCTGCAAATCCAAGCCTCCCTCTGGCATAACTTAACGGTGGTGGATTGCTCCACCTCTCTGTTTTTACTCTTGGTTCTATCTTGCTTGGAAAGAGAAAACTAAATAATGTTTGCTAGTTTTGTACTTAAAAAAAGAACAAACCCACCAAACTCTACCAGTGTTTCTCAACCTTGGGCCTCTAGCTGTTTTTGGACTATAACTCCCATCATCCATAGCTAGCAGGACCAGTGTTCAGGGATGATGGGAGTTGTAGTCCAAAAATAGGTGGAGGCCCAAGGTTGAGAAACAATGCACCATGGTTTATTTGATCCTCTGAACCTGGCTCAGTGACCAAACTTGGTCTGAAACTGGTTTATAAGCCTTGCTTTACGTAAACCATGGCTTAGTTTTGCATGCAGACCCCGCAAACTTTATAAAAAGTCAAAGGCTTCCTCCAAAGAATCATGGGAGCTGTAGTTAAGGGTGCTGAGAGTTGTTGTAGTTTAGTCGTTTAGTTGTGTCCGACTCTTCTTGACCCCATGGACCAGAGCACGCCAGGCACTCCTGTCTTCTACTGCCTCCCGCAGTTTGGTCAAACTCATGCTGGTAGCTTCGAGAACAATGTCCAACCATCTCGTCCTCTGTCATCCCCTTCTCCTTGTGCCCTCCATCTTTCCCAACATCAGGGTCTTTTCCAGGGAGTCTTCTCTTCTCTTGAGGTGGACAAAGTATTGGAGCCTCAGCTTCAGGATCTGTCCTTCCAGTGAGCACTCAGGGCTGATTTCCTTCAGAATGGATAGGTTTGATCTTCTTGCAGTCCATGGGACTCTCAAGAGTCTCCTCCAGCACCAGAATTCAAAAGCATCAATTTTTCGGCGATCAGCCTTCTTTGTGGTCCAGCTCTCACTTCCATACATCACTACTGGGAAAACCATAGCTTTAGCTATACGGACCTTTGTTGGCAAGGTGATGCCTCTGCTTTTTAAGATGCTGTCTAGGTTTGTCATTGTTTTCCTCCCAAGAAGCAGGCGTCTTTTAATTTCGTGACTGAGAGTTAGGTGAGCCCTATTCCCTTCTGAGAGCTACAATTCCCAGAGTGGTTTAACAACCAATGCCTCTTCACAGGGAACTCGGGGGAACTGGAGCTCTGTGAGGGGAATAGGGGGGGCCCTAACAACTCAGCCTTAACGAACTGTTTGAAGTGGTATCATAGTTCTTTTAATGTATAGTCTGAATGCACCCTCTGAAGTGTCCCAAGATATTGCTTTTGCTGCAACAGACTCTTCGCTCAGCTGTTCCTCTGGATTAAAAGACAATGAACTAACTGACCATGCTTCTGGGTTGGCAACCCAAATTGCCCAGAGGTGCATTGATTTTTGTTTATTTTATAACTACCATCTTCTGAACCAGAGATGGGAATCTTTTTGATCCAGGAGGCCACATTCTCTTCCTGCTAATCTTCCAAGCACTGCATGCTGGCTCTGGGAAGGCCAAAATGGTGGATGAGGCCCAAGATGGCAGTGTATGCTGGGCAGTCCCAAAGCGTAGCCCCTCTCCACTCATGTGTGCTCCCTAAGCAGCATTTCTCTATGCAAAATCAGGAATTGAGGCGCTGATAAAAGCCCGCCAAACCTGTGACTCAGCCTAGTGAGGGTTTTCAGAGGATTAAATGTGCTCCTAGAGGAGAAGCTTCTCATCTTCCCTCAATTGTCTCCTGTAACATATGAACACACCTGATCCTGTTCCCTTTGTGTGTGCCGTGTTAAGCAATTCTCCCTCCTCCACTTTTATTACTGAGCCTCAGGTTCAGATTGCAGTTCTTTTGTTTAGGGCATTTTAAGATGTTTTCGCGTTGAGAGGAACCGAGAGGTTAGAAATGGGCGGGAGCCCTCAAGTTCAACCAACTTCATTTGTGGTATAATAGGTATTAGTGTTGCTTGAATTTATGTCTGGAAGTACTTTAGGCTGTAGAGGGGGCGTGTTGTTACTACACTTAGTATGGTTTGTCTCCACTACTGGCATCCTGCCAGCATGGAAAGCTGGGTTCAAATCCCTGCTCAGCCTCAAATCTTAATGGGCATCACTTTTTCCCTCTCTCAATCTAGCCTACCTCGCATGTTGTGATGGGAGAGGGAAAGGAGTTTAGGTGTTCTAAAGACCCTTGACGTTGTAAAGGTAAAGGACCCCTGGCAGTTAAGTCCAGTCGCGAACGACTCTGGGGTTACGGTGCTCATCTTGCTTTACTGGCCGAGGGAGCCGGCGTTTGTCCGCAGACAGCTTCCAAGTCATGTGGCCAGCATGACTAAGCCGCTTCTGGCAAAACCAGAGCAGCACATGGAAACACTGTTTACCTTCCCGCTGAAGTGGCACCTATTTATCTACTTGCATTTTTTGGCATGCTTTCGAATTGCTAGGTTGGCAGGAGGTGGGACCGAACAACAGGAGCTCACCCTGTTGCAGGGATTCGAACCGCCAACCTTCTGATTGGCAAGCCCTAGGCTCTGTGGTTTACACCACAGTGCCACCCGCGTCCCTTGGCGCCATGCCTAGCCCCAAAAGAAAGTAGTAGAGGGCATTAAAAAGCGATTGTCTGCCTGAGGGAGGGGAAAGTAATAATGGGGTGTACACGACTTCTGCTTCCCTTGCCTACTGAAAGGAGTTTTGCTACCGCAGGGCAAGGCTAGCAAGACTGTCAGGTCAGAATTTGGAAGTCAGCGTAGCAGAATTCAGATGCTGCTGAGGCAGGAACTGCTTTTGAGAAGGAAAAGAGCAAAATGTAACCGTATCGGCTGACACAGAGTTGTGTTCTGTAATGTGGTTTTTTACCTGATGATCTAACACATTAGATCTGGATGTATCACCAACACGGTCGGCAGTGACTGCTGAATTTGGCTGTAATCAGGGCCGGATTTAGGTTTGATGAGGCCCTAAGCTACTAAAGGTAATGCGGACTTTTATATGTCCAGCTGTCCTTTGTCAACAAAAAATTGTCGCTGTTTTTTGTGCTGAATATGTGCTATATGGTAATTTATGGACCTAATAGGCATCTAAAGCCATTTGCACATAACAAATAGGAGCCTACACAACACAAAACACTGTTGCTGTATGTAGGTTTT